TCTTAAATCTCAGTAAATGAGACAAGATTTATTTTTCATTTTAAACTAATACTATTTCCAACTGTGATAAAGAAGAAAGAATGCTGTAATTCACGTGGGAGCTAGGGCTGTCTATGGGAAATCTGAAGGTGGAAAATGTAACAAACTCAATCTTAGCACATCCTTATGGAAGCCACGCTAGCTGTGCAAATACAGCAGAGGAAGACGCAGAAGAGGCTGTGGAGAATGCCCTGAGCCTGGAGTGAGGAGACATTCTAAAAATTCTTATGAAGGAGTAGATTTGCTTTCTCATTCTTAATTCTGTCAGTGAATCCAGGATCTTAGTAGCATTCTGGAAAATAAATATAAGCCTCCTTCTATATTCTGGCATAATAGTAACTGCATATTGTATGACTTGTGCTTAATCTTGTTCCTTATGGAGTTGTTTAACTGTTCATGGGAGAGGAAAGATATTTTGACTAGAATATTTGACTGCCATATAGAATCCATTCCCTTTGTTTGGCTCAGGCAGAGTCAGCTTCCAGGAGTATATGTAAAATGAGTAGCTATTTCTTAGATGTTCAGCCTAATAATAAAAAAAAATTAAAAATGCTAGAATGAGCTTTCCTACATATCATGGTGTAAAATCTAAGTCAGTGTAAGTGGCCGTCTGTCACTGTTTCAAAAGGTCTCATTCAAATACAGATGAAAGGAAAAATGACAGTTTTGAGTGATTATCTTTGAACGTTATTCTATTTAAAGACTATTGGTATTTCCCCAAAAATTCAGCAATAAATTCTGTACAAAAAAACCAAACAAACAATATTTGCCCTTTTTGAGTCTGACTGATTAACCTATAGAAAGACAGAGGGGAGATGTAAACATTAACACAAACGTAAAGCAACTTTAGGGGTGTAAGAGGGAGTCAGATAGTAGTGTGGGCAATTGGTGTCTTAGATCACAACTGTGAATTTTGGAGTTGTGATGGGAAAATCAGTCAATAATTCATCAAACTGGCTATTTGGAAGAAAAGACTATGTGTGCTATATACTTGACCACTGGTGAAACAGTCCAGATGGCTTCTAAGCTCCTGAGTGAGTCTGCTTCGAAGACTAAACACCTCCTGGCTTCTCTTGTTACTCAAACAAAGCTTGCCGTTGTTAATCTGGGTTTATGGCTGGTTTTGGAACTTGTGTTTTGAATCTTCTTTTCATATTACAAAGACATCCTTTACAAAATTATTTCTCTGTGGCAAAAAAAATTCCACTCAAAAGATGAGTAACGTATTTCCTTGCGATGTGTCATGTTTCATCTTGCTTAATGTAATTTCAGGTGTCTAGAGTTGAAAGGTACCCACCTTTCAATTATATATAGTAGTATTCCATCTTTGCCTTGGCAGCAACTACACATGTGCCTTATGTGTGTTATTGTGCCACAGCTTAACTTCCATGAGACTCATAACAGGCCAAGGGGGAATCAGATGGCATTTCATTTAATGTATCTCAAAATTTAACTTAATGTCTTAGCCAGCCAACGGGATTGGAATTATTGATAGTTCCTGTTGGACAACAAATTAACTTATTGATGTTATGTTTACTAGCATTTTAATAAATGGACGTTGATATTCATGTCTCAAATAAGAACACTGACATGAACAGAAGAGCCCGTTAAATAATTTGCTTTAGTTCTCAGTTTCTATTGAAAATGATACTTTTAATACTGTGATACCTATTAAGACACCTATTAATGTTATGTTTAATTTTCATATATATGTACATATATGGGTGCATATTATATATGCATATATCATAAACATTTCATTATCAGATCTTGGGAAAGTCATTTCCTTTACCTACCATTAGTTTACGTATTAAAGAGGAGACTCTGTCCTCTTACTGAAGTTCCTGCCTTTTAATCTGACAGGCCTGAGAGTAACAGATGTTAGACGAAAGTGTTCCATCAACTCCTGTGCAGCTCACAAATATACATGATTTCTGTTGCTCCAGGTAGCTAAATGCAGCTCACAAATATACATGATTTCTGTTGCTCCAGGTAGCTAATTAAGGCTGACATCTCTGAATGGACCAAAATCCCGTTTTTGTGTTCCCTGAAGCAGCTGGTTGCAGAACTGTATGCTATATTTATTATGCTCTCATATTTGGATATAAGCAATGGCCTGGGTGTATCTGACTGCTAATCAATACTGCCTTTTATTTCTGGAAATAGAGAACTGAGGATCAAGTTCCAGGCATAAATTAAAATTTGTAGCCCATAGAACTTATTAGGAAAGTCAAAATTATCCATATGTTGGAGAAGTAGAAAAGGCATTGTGGATTATAGAGAATTTAGACAGCAGTTGAATCAAATCACATATATATGAAAACTTCCTGGAGCACTGTATGTATATGTGTGTGTGCATATAAACATTTATGTATATACATATATGTGTGTGTATGTGCATATATATATATATATATGTGTGTGTGTGTGTGTGTGTGTGATCTCTGATCCTCTTCATTTCAGAAAAAATAAAAGAGATAAAAGAGAATTTTCTAAGTTTCATGTGTCACGGGGCAATATATATATTTCTTATTCTCTTCATTTCAGAAAAATTAAAAGAGAATTTTCTATGTTTCATGTGTCATGGGGCTTATTCCTCTTACCCTTTAAAAATAAAGTGTCTTCACCTAACTCAGAATGACATAACTCGAACTCAGTATCTTTCTGTTCCTGCACCCTGAGCTCTGGGGTTACTGACACACACCACCACACAAGACTTTGTATTGCTTCTAATAAAGCATAAAGTTCTTCCAGAAATAAGCCTCAAGTTGAAGGCAGAGACTAGCTCACCAATAAAAGTCAATTTATATACTATTCCAGGAAGTTCTCATCTGGCCTGGCTGTATGAGATAATTGTCCAGAGAATCATGGTCTCAGTATCATGGCCTTGTGCATTTAAATTTTTGTTGAGGGGTGTTTTTGAACATCATCGGATGTGGATAAAATTGTTCTGAATTTGTATGATTTGAAAATAAGTCTTAAAAGTCAGTGATTTATGAGGAACACTGACATGATGACGGCTGACAACATTTTTCCCTCTCGTCAGGAGACCCACGCTGGGAAAAGCCAAAGCATCTCAACTCCCATTAATGGAAACAGAGCAGCACAGACAACTGTAGTGCCTGCTGAAGTGTACAGAGGCTGCCAGGAAATTTTAACGGTGAAACCAAGGTTTGGCTGGCAGATGACTACGCCTTTCATGTCCAATCCTGAAATATAAAACCATGGAATTCCGAATGCGAGTGGACACTTTGGTCAATATTTACTTGGGCACTTTTATGTAGTGTATCATAAAAGGGATTAAATAGTCCAGTTCCCTAGCTGGATCCCTTTACAAGACTGTTCATATGGTAGAACTTCAGCTTCCAACTTAAGGATATACCCCTGAGGCCTACTGTTCCACACATTGGTGATAACAAGCCTACATATCTTGTGTCTCATGATCGTGAATACATTTGCTGAATTAATTAGTGAGTATTTATGCCAGAGGCATCTTAGATTGGATATAGGCCATGTCCGAGTTCTCTCCTTCCCCTCATCCAGCAATTTATTTATTTAGCAGTCACTGAATATCTACTTTGTGACAATTGTTTCCAGTTCAAATGCTAGCAGACGTTGCAGGGTGACAAGTGGTGACTGCTACTTTCCTTCAGATAAGCACAGATGTCTTAGAATATAGCCCTGGGGAACACCCAATGAGGCAACTGTGTATTTAGTAGTGCAGCCATGCTTTTCACCTCAGCTTAGACTTGTTCCATTCATCCATCATTATGTGAGCAGTAGAGGAGCTTCAGGTGAGCTATTGGTAGTGTTCTCATTGAAAATAGGAGGGCCAGCGTGCTGGAGGCGTATGATTCCAGCTCTCAGATAGCTGAAGGAGAATTTTGAGTTTGAGGCCAGCTGGCACTACATGGTGAAATAAATACACCACACACACACATGCACACACATGCATAGGCATATGCACAGGCATATGCACACGCACAGGCACAGGCACACACACACGAGGGGGGGTTCAGACTGTGCCATCTAATTTCTTATGATGTGTGGAGCTCATGGTGCTTCAGTACATAAGAGAGTCTGATCATAAGAATGGAGTATGTTTGGTGTCTTGAAGAATTCTCTCAAAAAGCCTGAAAAGAGCTCAGAACCCTACAAAGTGTGAAGCCCTAGGTTTAGTCTTCAGCACTACAAAGTAAAGAATATCTCTTAATTTTCAAGATATAACTCATATAATGGTTCATAAATCATTTAAAGAACACTAGGGGACACAGGCTAGAGGATGTGTAATGGAATCAAATTTAAGATTGCATGGCTAAGTATATTAGTGCATGCATTTAATCCCATCGCTGGAGAGGCAGAGGCAGATGGATCTCAGTGAGTTAGAGGCCAGCCTCTGGTCTACACAGCAAGTCCAGACTAGCCAGTGCTACATGAGACCTTCCCCTACCTCATACATATATTAATTTCAGTACCTCAAAAAGACAAGTTTCTGAATTAGACTTAGATTTCATTTCTAAACCTGAGGTGCTATGGAGGCAAGCTGAATTGTGCTGTCCACACATAGAACACCAGCACAGCCCACGTGAAGGGCAAGGGTAGTGCCCTGAACCAGGAAGAAGACAAAGGTGTGACTGTGCTCCCTCAAACTCGTTAGGCTCTCAGCCAACCCTCAAACTTCTCTGTACTTCCTTACATGACAGTGTACTTATAGAATGCCAACTATGCACCAGGTGCTGTTCTAATGTGTCTGGGAATTATTGCTAAAGAAAATAAAAGTCGACTAACATTCTCCCGCTTAGCCTATGCAAGAGGATATTACTGAATGGCCACTTGTACCTGTAACTCTGCTCAGTACCTGGAGTAGTAACAGAAACTTAATCTGTGCTGCCCAAAGGGGAGCTGTCTGCAAGTTTGATAAAATTAGAAAGCAGCATCTGCTCAGGGACCATTGGTCTTACCTTGTAGTGAATTGAAGATGGAGAACAGGTACATGAAAGGAATATTTAAGGGTCCCCAGGCAAAGAAAGCAAAACCCCATGTCATGCCCAGCAGGAAGGTCAGGCTGATCACACTGCGTAGGTTTCTTAAAACTTCTTCTCTCAGGGTCCGGTTGCTTCTCTTTCCATTCCTCCCACAGATCTGTACCATGACCACAATGAACATGGCAACATTCAGGAAGAACATGATTCCGAAGTACCCGGCACAGCTCACATAAAATACCACAGGATCCTGAATCCAGCAGCTTAAAGGAAAAGAAATAAGAATCAGATAAAAAACTGGCTCCCAGGCATGTTTACTTGTAACTTTCCTTGGCCTGGTATGCACAGCTTGCAATGTTCTTTCTGAAACACCACGAAAAGTCCACTCACTTCTGCAGGTCTCAGTCTCTTCTTTGATCCTTTCATAGCTTTTTTTCTTTTTCCATTTGGTTAGTTTTGGATGGCTGCTGTCTTAATCTCATTATTTAAATCAACACTAAAAACCAAATGAGGTCGCTTGTTGAATTCGGATTGGTATGAGGGCACGCTTGTCTGGCTGACTCTAAACCACATTTGACCCTGTCCCTCTTGTGTGTCTTTATTCCAAAAAAAAATGGGGATTTTCAGCACTCAGTTTTGCTGTCCTTTCTTGTCAAGAGGTGGATGTGTTGACACCATTCCAAAAAATAACATGGAAGCAGAAGTCTGTTAAAAAATTTTTGGGAGAATTACGGCTGTCAGTTTATGTCCACGTGCAAGAGGCCAGGAGAACTGCAGAGACTTTGGCTTTGGCGGTTTTTAGCGACAACATCAATGCTAGCGGTCACCTATGTCCCTAGTTGCTTGTCATTTATGATTAGCTAATTTATACTTCATTGTCACAATGAATAGAGGATTCAGGACCCAAAGCATTATTATTTATATAACTGTTCTAGCTGAATCAAGACATTATAGAATTAAAAGATTCATGAACACACATTTCGTGCACATAATTATAAGGCATATGTAAGTTATAGCATCTTCATTAGGAGAAATATATGTGATTTTCATAAATATATCAGCTAATAGATGGAAGAAAATTTCAAACAATTCTGTATTGCAAAGTCTAACATAAATAAAGTTGAAAACCAATGTAATTTGCAGATGCTCTAGAGCTTCTTAAAGCTATGGAAATTCTTAGCTACCAAAAATACAATTATTTCAGGAAATTAAATTTATCTTAAAGTGAATTGGCCTCATCCTGCCTACTGAGGTAAATGCTTTCTTAAACATCCTTAAACTCAAAATGATTTCTAGTATACGAAGAATGTTCGCTAAATGACATTTTGTGATGACAGAACTTTAAACAGAGCTTTAAAATCCTGTAACAACTGAGTAAGATAGATTTTACATTCCCTCATTTAAAGCTGAATTAGCTTAAAATGTATTGTTTCTTGTAAAGAGCCCTCAATAATACTACATGTCCATGACACTGGATTTTCTTTAAACTTGAAAGTCTCCCAAAGATCCTAGAGTTCTTAGTTGGGGGTTCATAGTGATGCTTCAGAAATACAAGGAAGGGAAGACCACAATGGATGAGAACTCATTAGGTACAAAATTGTTATCTATTCCTGCTCACACAGACAGGAGGTGTCACTGGTCTCACATAAAAAAAAGTGTTCATTAAGCAATTAGTAATTCTTCAAATCAATAGATATCAATAATGATCCACAATGTGATTGAGGAGGTATATAAGAGAGTATCTCAGGCATGTGAATGCTACAGACCATCTACTACAGTCTTATTAAAATAAAGAAAACCAGCTCTGACCATTGAAATGATTACCTGTGGTAGAAAGACCTGTGACCAATTCCACAGATAAAACTAAAGCCTTCAACATCAGAGCATTATTATCACCATGGTAACTTACGTCAAACTTTAGGAAACAAAGTGCATATCCCATCACAATCTTTCCCCAGACACATATTACTCACAACTCATCATCCTGATCTTTCCCATAACTTTCTTTTCCATACACTTCATTTTGGTTTCTGCTCACTAGAATAATTGACACCACCAAGGCTGGCAGACCTGTTATAAAAAAAAAGAACATGACATTGAGAGCACTCCTGAAGACTCTGGGACTGCCTCATGGGACAGATGCTGTACAAGCAAGTTGGTTGGTTAAAAGTAACAATAAAATTGCCTCCTCAGTGTGGCACATATGACTCTAAATGGCAGTAGTTAAAGTCATTTAGTGATAAGATGCTCAAATCTTCTCCTGGGTTTGGTCCTGACCACAGGACATTTACTGAGGTAGAAGGAAATCTACTGAATTCAGTACCAGACATCAGTGTGATTGTGTTACTGATGCTCCAGTGATGCTACACTGGGTCACCGGAGTTTGAAAAGATAAGGGAAATGTAGTCTTCCTCTTCCTCCTCCCTCATCCTCCTCTTCCTCCCCCATCCTCCTCGTCATCATCATCTTCTTTGTTTGTTTGCTTGTTTTTCTCGACAGGGTTTCTCTATGTATTTGTGGCTGTCCTGGAAGACACTCTGTAGACTAGGCTAGCCTAGAATTTGAACTCAGAGATCTGCCTGGCTCTGCCTCCCAAGTGCTAAGATTAAAGGCATGTACCATCATCATCCAGCTGAATTCAACTTCTTTTACCTTTTTTTTTAATATGAGAAAAAACTTTAGTAAAAGTGTATGTGTGTGTGTGTGGGGGGGGCAGGCAAACAGCAAATGTATGATGTCATTTCTTTTCTCTCCAGAGAATCAGTAATATTCCTGCCTACTTTATTGAGCAAATTCATGCCTCCTCAGATCCCCGAAAGATCCTATGCTTTCCCATAGGAGGGTCTGGACAACAAAGGAATAGCTCATCCTTGAAGACTACCATTTAAAAGGACTGTGATTGAGATTAAAGTGCCCAGCTTGACACAAAACCCAGAAAAAGAAAGCTGTTCAATGAAAAGACTATACAGGCTAACATGGCCTTTGGATATCTGACTAAGGATTGATTCATGGAAAAAAAACTCAAGGCAACAATTCTCTAAATATCTTGTTTACACACATAAAAATAACACTCCTTTTCTGGTTTCCACAACAGGGATGAGTAGAGCTAAGAGTTTAGGGGGCTACTATATTTGGAAACATTATGGGCTGTCAGCTGCTTCTTTAGCCCTGGGTGGGCTGGCCCTGGGCTGAGGAAATGAGTTTGTGGTGACTCTGGCCTAAGCCTTTTCCTTTACTCCTGAATTTCATGAGTTCTAGTTAGAGCTTCAAAAACATACAGTTCTGGGGAACAGGGGATGTACAGTCTCAGGATTTTCTTCTCTTATGCATGGTTTTCTATGTGTCTTTTGGGATGATGCATGAGAAAGGAAGTTTGGGGGGGCCTTACCCCAACCAATGATGCAGAATTTTAGAATATACCGGTGGATGTAAGTGTTAAACACTTTCACGAGAGCAATGTACATGTGGATGGCTTCCAGCCCCATCCAGGTGAAGGTAGCCAGGAGGAAGAAGTGCAACAGGGCAGCCACCGCTGTGCAGAGCCCAGCTACACCAAAGGAAGTGATCCAGCCATCCAGGAGGAAGATGAGGTTCAGGAAGAGCAGGGCTGAACTCAAGTTCATCAGGATTTTGGAGGGATAATCCCTGCGCAGCTTCCTAAGGGTGGAGTAGAGAGAGTCATGCACAGAGTAACATCACACACCAATGTTTTAAAATTCAGGGGTCAGTTCATGTTTTCTACTGTTCAGAAGTAGGTAACTCCATAAAAGAGATATGTAAAGGAGAAGATATCCATGAGTTTTTGACAGGTTACAAAGCAGTTTTCAATCTGATTTTCATTTTAAAACTGTTTTCAAAGTTCCCAAATGTTTATACAGGATTTATATTTATTTATTTACTCTTCTATTCTTGAGACACGGTCTTCTACTGCAACTCAGGGTGCCTTGTAATTCTCTATGTAGCCCAGAGTGTCCTCCAACTCTTGGAAATGCTCCTGCTTTGAGCCCTTTGATTGCTGGGATTAAAGACATGACTCACCACGCCCACATTTTTTTTAAACTTAAGAATTTCTCCAGATTTACAAGATGTACATTTTAATTCATGGGTTTGGCCACTTATGTCTGTCTGTGTATGTATGTGCACCTGCATTTAGATGGACAGAAAAAAGTCAGAAGGTGGCATTAAGGCCCCAAGAACTAGAGCTACAAATTGGTGTGAGCTGTCTGGTTTGTGTGTGAGAGTCCAGACTCAGGTCTTTCTGCAAGAGTAGCCAGAGCTCACAGATGCTGAGCCATTCCTTTACCCAGGCATTTTTATTTTGAAAGTAAATTTCCCAAGAATTGTTTGATGTTTCTTGATTTTTAATGAGTCAGAGATGCCTTTTAAAAAAGCTTCCTGTTTCAAGAATGTTTGCATACAATTCAAGGAGCAAATTGTCTTTACCTTTACAATGTAGCAAGTATTTCATGTCACTTTAATTTACATAAAGTGCTAATAATCTCTAGCCGACTTGAATCCATTTTATCAATAGAAATAAGGGACTTATAAACTAAAATTCTATGCCTGGAAAATTCATGCTGTATGATCTTATGAGAAACATGAGGATTAAAAGAGAGACACAAACATGATTCATAAACTATAGAATTGGTTTTATGAAGCTGAGGCAATTTTTAGGCTCACATTTGAAATTGTTAGCACTGGGCTTGGCTGATGGAAATATACTTACTCGAAAGCAACATATGTTAGGAGAGTTGCAGCTGAGAAGATGGCAGATATTCCACACCCAATATAGGTAATGAACGTGAGGACTTTTGTGTTCCTTCCATCTATTTGTGAGGCACTCCTTGGAAGATCCTAACAAACATGGGAGACAGACGTAAGTAAGTATCATTCCTTTTCCATGATAGTGATGCTTTATGCTGCTAGAAAGTTCACTGCTGACATTAAAGCAGGTCAGTCTCAGGGGCTAAATACAGCAATGTCCATCAACATGGCCATAACTACTTATGACACTCTAGTGGACCAATAATACAAGAAAGAAAGCTGACATATCATTGCAGAAGTGGGTATACACTGTCTTAAATCAGTACTTCCTTAATCTAAGCTTGTTGTGCCCTAGTGTAAGTCAAAGAGTTAAAACACTAAACCCCCAGCAGAAACAAGGTAAGATGCAGCTCCTTGTATGATAAGTTAACAACCACACCTGTTTCTGTAGGTGTAGGGGCATGAGTATAAATGTAGGCCACTGTGAAAACATGGCCAACTCGTAGGCCCTTAGATTTTCAGGTAGGTGAGAAATGCTCAGGCAGGAACAGCTGGAGGTTGCTATGAATGTGCTGAGTTTTTATGGTCATTTCAAAGCCTAGCAAGTATAAGGTTGGGTTCTGTTTATTTTATTTTTTCACAAAAGTGATGTCACCACGCATGTTGGGATCTAGCATTTTTAGTCCCTATGGGTTTTAAATGGCATAATCCAAAGTGTCAAGAGTTGTGCAGAGTGGAAAGAAACCAACATGGATGGACAAGAAGCATTAAGCTCACATGTTGAAGTAAACTTGAAAACTCTGGCCCTCACAGGAAAACTTTCCTTCTCCACCATAAATGAAATATGAGGTAAGGATAAAACCTGAAGTAAGACCACTGATCTGTCCTGGGGGAAGATGAGATTCACTTCCAACATACAGATGTTTAAAAATGAAAGAAGAGATTTATTGAACATGCATTTTAAACATTTCAATCTTGTGGTAAAAGTAAACTTCTCTTTCTATATGTCAATTTTCTTTCATTTTCATCAAATGTCAAGAACACTGGTACTCTCCCAGAGGCCACCCCCCCCACCTCATAGAAACAACATTTCTCTGTGTGTGCATGTATTGACATGAGGAAGCAGAATTCAGTTCTACATACAACTAATGCCATAAGACACATGCAGTAGTTTTGAGACAATGACAAACACACAGTGGCAGAGATCAGTACAGGTAGGGGCCTAGAGTCAGAAAGCCTTTCCCTTTCTCAACAGCCCAGGACTCCCTCAAAACACAGGGAAGACATGGGCCCATAACATATGGGATGGAGTTTGTGTCAGTGCCATTAGACTCCAGAGGGGTGTCTATCTGGTACAGATCCCACAGGATCAGCTATAGTAGAGAAACTGAGAGTTTTGAAGGATGATCAACTGATTCCATCTAGTTGGGGCAAATGAGACAAAATAAATAATTTAAGAAAAAAATCAGTACTTCTGCATAAGGACAGCAGTTCAGAGACAATTCTCACATCATATTGTGCTTTCTGAGAATGATCACATGACAAGTTTATCCTTCTAGAGCAGCCATTCATTCATTCTTATGAAGATATAAGAATGTCAAACAATAGGAAAGTCATTTCTATAACAGAAATGTAGGAAAGGACATTAGACATTTTTTACATTTACAGATGAAAAAAAAAACAATGATGCGATCATGGAGATTTAGACTCTGAGACTATCTTATACAAGTGAACAAGAGCTTGTAAATCTAGAATAAAAAACTATGATTCAAGCATTGTTGGTCTGGAAGAGCTAAAAGGAAACCAGCACATTGGCAAAAAGGATGGATTTTGCAAAGTATTTCTTTCAGTGGTTTATAATCTTAAAACAGAGGCCAAAAACAAAAGTGAAGGAATTCACTAACATGCAAATCTCTATGCATGTAAACTTAACGTTTTACTCAGACAGCAAGAGAAAATGCAATGTGCATTTATAAACCCATAATTAAATTTAGATAACATATAGTAAAACCGGCCATCTGGGTAATGCGAAGGTAAAATTGGCCTGCATAAAAATGAATTACTTCTCAGAGGTGTCTGAGAAGTCAACTTTGTTACTTGCATCTATTAACCCATCAGAAATAAAATTTGCAATCATTTTCAAACATACACCTGCACAGTGCTGAAATATTTAAATTAATTGAGCTAAAGTTCATATATCTGAATGACTAATTCTCCAAAATAAGCCTTTTTTGAAGAATTATCTTTAGTCACTTTTAAAGAAAAGAGAAAACAGGAGGAAATGTGAATTTCTGTTGCAGATGCTTAGGGAAAACACACTATACTTTAGATGTTCAGTATAGTGAATTAATTGTAGTTTGATGTCCTGAAGAAACAACATATTATGAGAGCATTAAAAGGCTACTTTCTGTGATTCATCACCTTTGCCAATGACTTTTTGCCCAGACAGTTTGTATTCCTGCTTGTCAGTAAATTTACAGCCTGCAGATTTGTCATACGACAATGGCCATTTACACAGGCCAAGTAGTTCATCAGCCAAATACTACAGTCCAGAGTTGCTCACTCTTCCTCCCAGACCCCACAAGCAGATGGTGGGAGGATTTCAGGGAGGGAGGTGACTACAACCTCATGTCTGTGGTTCCAACTGGAAAAACTGTATCAGCTCAATTCCCATTACATCCATCTTCTATGAACAAGCAACTGTGCTTGATCCCTTTATAGAAACTTTGTCGAAACAATGTCCTCAGTACATTCTAGATGTTCTGCATCTTAGATAGGTGCTTATACAACACAAGTGTACCAGATTATGGTACTCACAGATGATTTCCAACAGGCCCAAGGGAGTAAGATGCATCTTGAAAATTGAATGGGCTAAAAGAAAACACTGATGTAGCACAAATTTTTGTGCAAATTCTTGAGTATCCTGGCTAGGTAGATATCTTTGAGGGTGAGAGAAAGGAAGAATAGTAAGGATGATAAGAAATTGCCTAAGTGAGAGAAACCTTCAACTATTATCACTCTTGCAGGATAGGAGTCACAGTCTTCAACTCCTAGCTGTCCTAACAGATTATACTCTTCAGGAGGGAAATCACTTGGCACAAGACATGTCAACTGGCAGGCAAGCATATTAAATAAAACATGAGGAAGAAAAATCTTGATCACAGTATTTATAGTTAGTTCTCTTCCATGCTAGCAACAACCCGACACCTTCCTTCTGTTGTTCTTCTCCATTTGTCTCTGTCTGACAAACTCCTTCTTCATTAACTAAAGAGGTTTGTGAGGATATATTTTTTTTTCATTCTGGAATTGCTTCTTGTTAATGCTACAAGGGAAAGGAGATAGAGTTCTTTTGTGTGTCACTTGGTGTAAATCCTCTGCTAAGCGAATGCTTTTTTATGCCCCATGATCTAGGGTACAGATGGGCATGGTTAGGTTACAAAATCTAGGATATATAATATTTTAAAAGCTGAACTCACACAAAAGAAATGTGCCTTCTAAAATTATAATGTGTCAAAAATAAGCTAAGAAACTGCCCTTACCATCAGAACTCCAAAGTGAGTGAAGTGGTTACACAGACAGATAGTCTCGCCAGCATCTGAATCAGAGTGGGCAACACATCCAGAGGTGTTCCATCCCCCGAAACTTTCTGCAGGAAGAAACAGTGAACTGAGAACAGCAGCAGCTTGGTGTCCTCTCTGAGGGATGAGCCCTGGTGCCTCAGTGGTTATCTGTAATATGGGCATCATTCTTGTAATGACCGAGACATAGAATGATTTAGATTCCTTGAAAGTCCTCTCAAAATCTTTGAGGCAGTTGTTTCAAACTGTGCTCCACTGAAATACCTCAGGGTTTCTGCAGATGCTCACATTAATTTTTAAACAATTTAAAATAAACTTCTTTAAAAACTCAAGCTTCTTTTCAAACATTATGTGCTAATGAGCTCTCAGAACACCAAACCATTTTTCCTCTCTGGGCTCAGACTAACTTTTTAGGAAGACATATGAAGATGAGATGTGGGCTTAGCCTACTTTGTAATGCACATAGTAGTTACCATTATGAAAATGAGGGCAAATGGCATGAACACAGCTTATCTGACTTGTTGGCATTGTATTTGTCCATTTCTTTAAATATGTTATGGTACAGATATTTTTAACCAAGTATATAAGTCAATTAGCATCTCAAAAGATGGGCAGCTAAAACACAATCCACAGTTAAACTATCCACCTATAATAAGAACATTGGACTCTACTTTTCATAAGCAATATAACCAGTATGGCACCAGGACAGATTTATTAGCAACATGGCATTGGGGGATCCATAGGGAGGATGACTCTTAGAAGTTGAACACAGGAGGTTTCTTTTCACAATTCCCCTAATCATTTCTACAGTCTTCTCCTTAGTGATTTGTTGATTCCTTACATGTTCCTTCCTGTCTTGATTGCTCAATATCATGTTGGAGGCCATTTTTTTCAAATAATCTGTGTTCTTTATAATCACTTCCTTCAGTAGGCTCTTTCACCCACCTCATAATTTTTGTGACTTATAAATGTCAAATCATCTCATTAGACTATGTACAGTTGCAAGTGGCTACAGTAAAAATGTATGCCACTTTGCACACATAACTATACTGAAAGTGGTTAATTCACTCAGACTATGAGTCAAATATGCTTACTTCTTGAAGTGACAAAATATTGCTTTAAAAATGAGAATTGATTCCCAAGCTATCTAAACTATAGTTTGAAGCATACTTGCTTGTTTGTGGTTTGGGGTGAAATGGAGGGAACTGGGAGTGCTTGAAAACACTTGAAATTCTATTAATCTATATTAAGTCCGCCAGGATTTTACAACTTACTGTTTTTGTTCAGATCCCAGAAGGCACAGATAGGATGATGCACTTCCTAGATTAACATAAAAATAAACATGAAAAAACGTATTTTAAATTCTTTCAAAGTCACAACTGAAAGGAAACTGACTAGTACCACTATACCAGTACCACTTGACCTGGTCAGCAGCCTGGGTGGCTTTTCTCTCCTAGAGACTTCAAATGAACATCAACTAGAATCCCTGGAAAGAGTGACACTCACTTTTCTTAAGGACATTCACTCTGTGTTCTATCATTAAATACTGAATCTATTCTTACTCTTCCAGTCTAGTAAAGCTTTTTATAACAACGTTCATGTCATCTTTAAAATTCTCCCATATGCAAAAGTATCTGCAAAAGCAAACTAAAAGCAGGTTCTCAAAGGACAGTTGTATGCCTACAGCCAGATTGCATTAGTCACAAAATGTAACCAAAAAATAGAAGCAACCCAAGTGAGCACTGATGGATGAATGGATAAAATCTGTTATGTTCTCACAACGGACTATCAGCCAGTCTTGGAAGGAATGCACTTCAGGCAAGTGATACAACAGATGGATTCTGAAGGCTCCTTCTGAAGGACAGCTACTGTCAGGTTCTCTAAGGTGACTGTTGGAATCGAATTAGTACTGCAGGAAACTGGAATGAATAGAGGTTGCTAGAGATTTCTGAGATAAGAACAGGGAATTGATGTTCAATGGGGGCAGAGTTTCAGTTGAGGTAGATTAAATAAAAACTAGTGGAGAGAGATGGTCTATACTGTTGACAAATTAATGCAAATGAAACTATATACCTAAAAAATATCATAAGTTCTACTAAGTGTTTCACTATGGGGAATAGACAAGTCTTCCTTTGTGGATGCTGAAGCAAATAAGGCCAAAGATGAATAAGGCATTCTCTGAGGCTTCATGATGTGGGATAGTGAACTCAGTGTTTCAATTCTGAATCCTCGGCTATTATCAGCCTGCTCACATCCTTCCTAAAGATTGTGAGACCATTACCCAGAAGCTCTACAAAAGTGAATGTACTTGTTTGTGAGCAGAAGGTGGTGCATCTCCCTGTAGCACATAAGTGGAGAGCAGAGAGGGTCCAAAGGTAACAATGCTAAACTTGGGATCATCTTAAGCCACTGCACGTCTCCCAAAGGACAAGTCTACTCTCTCAGGTTGTCCCTTGAGCTTTCTCAGTTGTAATTATTTTTTACTTTAAAACTCATAGAGACAATCACAACTCCTAATCAAAGACTTTGTCTGTGTCCTTGTATTTGGAGATGCTCAAGTCCTTTATTAACAACAGTAACCTTCTTGATCATTTCCATTCTCTTCTGAGTCTTGGGTACCAGGCAAGACAGACTCACTGGTGGCAGCTGCCATTCATGGTGCCTGCCTACCTGACCAGCCCATCTCCTGTCTAGAGGATGGACATCATCCCGAATAAAATGTGTTATCATGGTTCTTTATCATTTACAGATCTCTGAGATGGTGTGCATTCCCTAACTGCTACCCGTGACATTTTCTTACCTGTGTTCTGGTGTGTTTGATTTTGATTTGAACTGGATCTTTCAGATTCTGGATAGTAATGTTTCCAATGCTACATGCCATCACATAACTCACTAGGATTTTTCTTTGAGATCCAACATCCTTTGAAAGAAAAGAACAGATTGCGTGCACAAGTCATAAACACACACTTTCATGCTCCAAAGTAAGCAAACGGTCAGCAACTTTTACACTTAAGATCTTCAATTCTAGAACATCCTGTTTATGACTTCCAATTGCTGGCTTTCCTGAAGGGTCTCTGCTATTTCCCTTATTACAACAAATACATTGGGACAGCACGAACCAGTGTTATAAGGAACTGTTCAAAGTACTCTATTCTCCATCACTGGGATGATGAAAGCAAATTGACAACTGGAACAATACAAACTCATCAATCATACAGACTCATAAAAAGCTGTGAAACAATGAGATCATTTCCCAACTCTAAAATTCAGATGAAAGTACTTACAGTGTAAAAATTAAAAAGAAATCCATCATTTACACCCATGCCAAAAGCCTGATGTGTCTACCAGTGTATTTCTAAATGTAATTCAATTGGACTGAAGTCCCACTCAGAACATTTGCCTTTCAGTCTTTTGGATCTGACAGCAGCTGAAGATTTCACAGAGAAATTAGGTGGCCAGAAAGTCCCTGAATCTGTGCTGTCCAATAACTTGGAGCATCAGTCTGTCTTTCTAGCAAGTTCTCTGATTTTCTCTTCCATCTTGGTTTCTTGTCAAACTTGAATGTCTCTATGCCACAGTTTATAAGTCAATTGTATTAAAAATAATTGTACAATCTCTTAAATTCCAAATATAATTCTAAAATAGGGTTTTTGATTAATTTTTTATGTTCATTATTATCAACACAGTTGATTTGGGTTGGGGATGACCATCACTTAATGCTCTTGTTATTTCTATAGTATGTGGAGAATGCTGCAGACTCTTTACTGTTATATACATATTTCTTAAAATGTATACATATATGAAAGAAATCTAAATGAGTCACCAAATAGAGAAGACAAAACACTAATTAGACATATTACATTGGAAAGCAAAAACTTGTTGTTCCAAGAAGGGCTATATCTTCTTGAGTTATTGGCTAAGGATTGTACTGGGATTACAGAAATGAGGCAGTAGGAGGAAGCATTTTCTCCTCCTTTAACTGAGTGGGTATAAAGCAGCCATAGGAACAACATTCCTATGGACCTGAGACTCCAAATGCTCTTCTTCACAGGATACATGGTTAAACAAACACAAGTACCTTAAATTTAACTGGTAACTCTTCTTCTAATGAAAGAGTCCAGCAAAATGCTTTCAATGGTGTTGGCCTCATAAAGGCAACCAAGGGTGACTATTGTTTTCTGGCAATGGACCATCTAGTATCTGAGCAGATGCCAATAAAAATGATAATATGTGCTTAGCACAATGCCACCCTACTCTGCGGATATGAGAATGCCAAAGGTCATTTGAAATACTAATGGGAAAAATGATTAAAGCCAAGAATGCCGCTTATTATGTAAAAGGTGCATCCTGCTGAGTTTTAAAAAAATCCTTTCCTTTTGTGCACAAATGCTTTAACTCTAGAGGCCTCAGGGTCTGGAGAACAAAAGGATTAACAAATAATAAATAGTAGCATCATAACTAACTTAATTTCTTATTATATAATACATCTTAGCTTGATATTTTAAAACTCAAATAAGTACATACTGTTAAATGGGAGATTATTTAAATAAAATATTTAAATGTTTATATTGGTTTTTTAATTTAGAAAATATAGCAGATTAATTTTTCTATGACTGTTGGTATATTTCAAAGGAATTGGAACGTTTTAGCCTCTGAAAAAAGATAGTTCATTTAAAGGTGGAAAACAAAAGAAATTCAATGAGTTCTCACCTGGAAAAGGCCAGTTTTGTTGAAGAAAGTAAACTGTGCTCTTCTGACCAATACAGAATCCTCAGGACTTAAATTCTCAAGCAGATTTGGAGGCAAAATTACAGACGCCAATGGATCTGCCTGTCTGTTCTCAAAGTCCATCTGATACACAAACACATGGGTAGAATAGTCATCAAGGCAACGGTAATACAGTCCCCAGGCTGAGTCAGATGAGAGAACATGGCAAGGACCACGCTAGCCAGAGCCAGTGTTGGCCTTGACCTCTGCAGATGTCTGGAATTCCTGGATAAGTGACTTGCAGTCACAGGCAGAGATGGCATTCAGAGTTCAAATAAGAATACCTTGATTCTAGAGCACATCCACAGTGCTAGAGACCAATTAATATTTTTCAAGTATGAGAGTGAGATTTTAAAGTGTCAGATTTGGATGTTTTTCTACATATACTATAGGCACGATCTAGTTTAACTGCATAGATCAGTTATGTCTTTAAAGAAACAACAGCTGTTTTTGTCTTGTTTTGACATCATGGCCTTCATTTGAAATGAGACAAGTGGAGAGTGACAAACTTTGAATGGAGAAGTTGCACAGAACAACTCAGTCTTGATTGACACTCCCCTGGTTGCTTTATGGATTACAGTCCAAACAACAGCTAGATGAAGAACAGCCTCAGATATCATTTTTCTTCAAACTATAACTCAGGCCTTAGAGAGTGACTGTCCTCATAGTATGAAATGAGACCAATGGCACTTACACTGTTTAAATATGAAAACCCTCGATAACCTCCTAGACCTAGATAATCTAAAAAGAACAAAAAAGTCTTCTTGTATCTCATGCCTAGACCTTTTTCTATTTGCATTGTGATCTGTCTTGAGAGCTAAAAACAAAACAACCCAATTATGCTCCATTCAGATCCTCTGATAGATCAGGAATGGTGTTGTGTTTACTTGGTTTGTTCTGCTTGTTAACACTGACTGGAACATGGTAGGCACTTGAAAATTATTGGATGAGCTGTGACTTTAACATACCCTAGAGTGTCACTTGAGCCACAGATTACTTGTCCAAACTCATCTTGTCCTTGGCTGTCTGCTGCTGCAGAGTCTCCACATTGTGGTTTTGCATCACATGATCTCAAGAGAAGCATCCACTGAGCACTTAACTAATCTAGACATACTAGAGCCCCGCAAAAAGCCTATCATCTCAGAAGCTCTGAGGACAAGGCCCAGAATTGCTTTTAGTATGTCTTCCCTGAACCTCTAAAGTTCAGTATTAGAATTGGTGGCAAGGAGAAGGCTTCTCCTGTGCCTCTTCCCACCTGAAGGTTGTTAATAAGACTTTTATCTCTTTAAACTGGTTCCCAACCTATACTTACAACATGGTGGTCTGTGCTCATGTGCTACCATTTAACATCTTCTCGCCTCCTTTAGAAGGTACCCTTCATCATCTAGGCTATGAAACATACCACTCACTCTACTTATATTTTACCTATGTATGCTGATGCCATTTTAGCCAATGTTCAGATCTATCTACCATCTCGTAGATCAAGACTTCCTTGCAGTATCTAATATTAAGGAGCCAGTAAATTTATTCTGTCTCATTAGTTATTTAAAATGAAAACAAACATGGTTTTGTTACCTGGAAATACGATTCATTATTGCTTGGAAGGCCAATGCTAAAATTGGAAGGTGCATTTGTTCCTGGCATCAGGGATGAGACTCCAAGGGCCAAATTCTGTGTTTCAATATTCACGTGTGGGGTGCTATTCAGGTCTATTTTGAAGGCTAGCTCATCAATTGTTTTTAAAGCTCTAAGGAAATGAAAATATCACTGTTAGATTAAACTGTGTTTTGCCGCATGACAAAATTCTAATATGGAAATTATATTTAAGTTCTTTGATCTTAGTGCATACAGCCATTAAAAAATTTGCAAACCCCAATGCTAGCAGCTAAAACAGAATGACAATAATTGATTCATGCTCAAGAAACTGTACTGTCTTTTTATATTATTATTATTTTATATACATTGGTGTTTTGCCTGTGTATTTGTCTGTGTGAGGGTGCTGGATCCCCTGGAACAGGAGTTACAGACAGTTGTGAGCTGCCATGTGGGCGCTGGGAGTTTAAGTCAGGTCCTCTGGAAGAACAGTCAGTGCTCTTATCTACTGAGCCATCTCTCCAGCCCAACTGTACCTTCTTAAGGGCAATCAGCAGCTAAGTCAACAGGAATGAATTTTGTTTTCCACAAATATAGTTTAAGAAACCAAAAGATACTGCAGAAGTGTTTCCAATGAATTCAGTAGAGATCAAATAACCGAAAGAACATGCTAACAAATACACTTTAATCAAAGAAATATTACTTAAAGGAAGGAATCTGAAGAAATTAAAGACCCTAATGTCAATAACAAGTGGAATAATAAAATACAAGGAAATATAATTACACCTGCCCTGGGCTTTTTTCATTTTAGAAGTTCACAGAGCTGTGACAGAGCTGTGTAGAACAGCAGCCTTGAGGTGGATGAGTTATAAAAATCATAGATAATCAAAGTTTTAGAATGAAAATATATTATAATGTGTTGAGTAAGCTTTGGGGACTTTATATATGCTACCAGATAAAGAGTCTAATTACTTTGTAAATTATACTTCTAAAATAGAGAGTTTTAGAGTGTACCTTGTAAATGACCTTGGGAAACACCTATGTATCTTACAGAGTAATAAATTAAGGATTGTGAGCACAAAGCATGCAGAAAGGGGGAATGTTCTCAGAACACATCTGTGCCGTTTAACTGGGCCGGAAAGGGATACTTACTCAGTAGAGGACTCAAGCAAATCACTATCTGAACTGCTTAAGATATTAGAAAATATATTCATTAGAGTTGAGCCAAGGGATATGTCAATGTTTTCTTCTTTGTTCACGATCCGTTTGACCTGTTCTACAATGCTGTTGATATTAGCCGACGTTAGGTTCTGCCCATCACCAGTTAAGTCTAAAATTTCATTGGCCACTTCATTTGATTGTCCTAGAATGAGGGAGAGAATCAACATAATGTTTGCCTGGACATTTTGGACATTTCTAGGAGTAGATGGTGTGAATAGTTTATTATACAGCTGCAGGAAGTGGGCATTCCCTACACACCCCTCACCCATCTTCATAAGGTAATACTTCTTTGCACACAGGGACAGATTCCTTGAGTATGATACAAATGATTCAGAGGAATCATTATTACCTTGAAGTTGCTAAGTACATGTTTTCTACTTGAAAATAACACAGAAATATGAAAAATGGATAGAAATAGAAATTTGCACATTACTTTTAAATCCTCTGTGTAAATTTCTTAGCATTTTTATTTCCCTAGGTTATGAATATGACACAAAGTTAATATGCAGAAAAGTATATTTTCTTACTAAAATACATGAAAGATTCATTTGCCTAAGTTTTAATATTACAGTAATAACACACAGCAGAACACCACATCTGAAGAGAATAAACCCTTGACAATGATAAGTTCATTTCACTCTGTCTTTGGGAAGGGAAGAAAAACTGAACTCACTTGAACAGTTGGAGGCATCAACAGGGCCCCAGAAGGTTGATGTTACATTAGAAAGGCTGCAATAATTACCAAAACAACAAAATGACATTTAAATATGTGGCATTAATGAAATTACAGTTAATGAAAGCAATTGTTCAGTTTCAGGATTTGCCTTGATATCTAGCTAGATTCCCTTTGGAAAAAATGTTACAAATGATGCTAAGAATCCTTATTGGAAAACCAGTCAGTAACTTGCACTCTCGAAGGGAAGTACCAGCTCCATCCTGCATCCTGGCCACACATACACTGTTAAGTGCTGCTTTAAGGACCTTTACTGGAAAACTCAAATCTCAATTTCACACAGCTCTAGAGAGTAGATTTGAATCACGTGTATAAAAGAGGAAGTACATTTTAGAGAAGCCAAGGAATTTTCCCAAGACCTCAAGCCAGGAAGAGGTAGGGCCACATTTCAAGTGTGCATCCATAAATCTTACAGCACTTTTCTCTTCTCCAGAGCAAGTGTCAAACACAGCCTTGATGCTGGGGACTCACACTTAGGTACTTTCTGTTCCTGAATCCCTTCCCAAAGAACTAACTGGGCCCCAGGCAGAGGGTGGAGGACTAGATATGCAGGATGGTTTGGCATATCTGTGCAGTTGTCTCATCTAAGGTTTATTAGACATGCAGGGAATTCTTATGTCTTGGCAGTCTGTGTCAACAGGCTGCCCAACCTCTATCTGATCTTTATCTCCTTTCTGCCAATTCTCTCTTCTCCCAAATGAGTAAGAAACCATGGGGGTTTTGATGTATGTTCTAAGACCGAGTTGGCTACAGGGTCCTTTGCTCTGGAGCCATGCTTTGTCTTTCCAATTTTCTCAATCTTTTCTTGGAGAGAATCTGATTCACTCACTGTTCAGAGGAAAGTACCCTTGTAGGTAATATTTTTCCTTATGTCTATCCACCCATATGTGTGCAATTCTTGCCTTGCTTCTCAAATCAACACAATGAATGAATACTGCTGTGACATAGATAGTAAGCTTCGACATGTGGCTAACCAAAAGTCAAAGAAAGAATTACCATGCGCGAGTCACAAAAAAGCCAGGCTTGTTTGGACATGGTTGTTTGTAGACAGAGGGTAAGATGGCTGGCCACCTAAAGCCCTCTGGATCCTCCAAGGTGCTACACATACCTGTGAGAAAATGAGAGCCATCATGAGATAAACCAGCCCTTAATTTTCTGAAGTTAAAGGTATAGAATGAAAAATAATGACAGTTCTGGGAATTTAGTAACTATTTATATACTACCAAAATAACCAGTATTTTATATTTAGAATTTTTAAAGGTTAGCAAGAATAAGCTTACATTTGAGATAAAAATTATTATACCTTATAAAACCATCTTATAATAAAAGGACACAGTGTAATAATGAAATGTACATGCTCATTCCTGTATGCCATTAACTTCATATTAGTAAAGGAGTTTCATTCAGAGAATAAACATGACAAGAATTGAGAAGAAAACCTGATAATTTCAGAATGCAGTGCAACCAGTTTAAAACGGGGGGGGGGGGGGAACGGGGAAGACATGCTTGATGGCTGAGCTGAAAACATATTTTATGGATCAGTTTCTAGCTGTTCTTGTGGTGTACACTTCCAACAACCTTACTGGATAAGAAAAACCAAGGAAGTTCTGACAAGCCAGCCAGCTTCACTTCTTTCATCAAACTCTTCCACTCTTTGTGTGAAACTACTCTAGGTCAGTGGTTCTCAACCTGTGGATCGTGACCCTTTCAGGGCCAAATGAACCTTTCACAGGAGTTGTGTATCAGATATCCTGCATATCAGATATTTATATTATAGCTTATAGGAGTAACAAAATTGCAGTTATGAAGTAACAATGAAAATAATGTTATAGGTTGGGGGAGGTCACCACAACATGAGGAATTGTATTAGAGGGTCACAGCCTTAGAAAGGTTGAGAACCACTGCTCTATGTTGTTGTAATGGCAAAAAAAGAATGATTCAGATTTTATCACTGAAAATGTCAAAGTCACAGCAAGATACCAACCATCACAATAAAACCTTCCAAGTGCCAAAGAAACAGCCTGTCTTTCTGAGAACCAGTATTGTAGGCACCAACTGAAAATTCAAATGACCTTCCAAAGTGCCCTTTGGTTTGAGATGTTCTAAGCTTTAATTTTTCAAATGCCATAAACCTTTTTTCATAGAGAAACATATAAAATAATATCAAATGACCAGTATAAATTAAATATCCAGGTATACACAGAAGGCTGTCCTAAGATTAGGACAGATAGGGCTGGTCCCTCAGGGGTGTGTGGTCATATCTTTTCTGCCATTTATTACAGTGCTTCTTTGCAGAGACTCTTGTGTATGAAATGGGAGTCCTGGCTCCTCTCTGGAAGCCTGCTTGTGAGAAAGCATGTACTTTCACAGAGCCCCAGATACTATTTAGTACTTCATGACTGTGGCTGCTATTTGCATATCCATTTATCTTATGGTCTCTGTAACTCTGTGTGTTGACACAGAATAAAGATGGGCAGAAGTGGGCATTTATCACATGGTATCTGGCCTTGGTTGTTTGCAAGCTCTGGGGGAGAAGAGTACCCATATGCCCACTTCAGCTTCCTAGTGCAGTGGAGGTAAAGCAGCAAGATAGTCCTTTGTTCCAATTTCTATGAAAGTCCCTAGTTAGAATATAACTGCTCCTAGAATAGCATCAGATAAATTATTTTTGTTGTTTTTGGTTTTATATATTTGTTTGTAAAAGTATATACCAGTAAGATTCATCTATTTATTTATTCATCTGACAAGTATTCAAATACTTGGGGCTAAGCATTTTTTTTAAAGAGGCCATCTCATGCTAAAGATCAAAATACTTAAAACTTGCATAAGGATGCAGATAAGTTCAACAGAACTTATCTAAATTCCTCTAAGGTATGTGAAGCCCAAGGTTTCTTAACAACATGAAGCAAAGGCTATAAACAATGGTGATGTGTATTCCATATGATGACTTCAGAAAAGGTCTCCAAGAAGAGGTGACCTTGTGGCTGTCACAGAAGTTATATAGGTGAAGGTGAGTGGACCGTTATAGTAAAAGGTGTGCCCACAATCTAGCTACCAAAGAGCATGGGTGCTTAGAAAAGTACAGGCTGTGTCACATGTATCATGGGAGCTTAGGATGTGGAAGGTATGCTGCTGAGAACTGATTCCCAGTTCAAGATTCCTGGCTTGCTCTTGTGAAGGTAATAGCATCATTCACAGAAAAAGAACACATGTTCTGAGCAATGTTTTATAATAAGGAACTTATCTTCATTAGTCATTTTAAAGGAGTTCTTGTAAATGTATGTAGACAGTCTTTTAATCCCGTAAGTGGAAGCCAATTATGGTCAAGGTTATTTTGGCACTTTGCTCCTTTTAGGATGAGAAAGGATAAATACAAACAGCCTGCCTCCTCCTTTCCCTTAGATTCCAAATTATTGAGATCATTTCTATGTAATGATCACACACACATTTTTGACAGTCTTTATGTAACAAATTTCATCATTAAATATATACTTTACACAGATAGATAATAAAAGAACATTTGTGTTTGTGTGCATGTGTGTGTGTGTTAGTTAACTCTGCATATGTAAATCACACAAGCTGAACTCACATACCAAGTGGCTTCACATCGACTTTGCACAGCCTCAGGCCATCCTCTAGTGATGCGTTGTTTGTTAAAAGCCTTTTTTCAATCATCACTCCATCCAGGTTGCTATTATTGGTATCATTGTAGACTAGAAGGGCCCAGAGCACCAACCTAGAAAAAATATGCCAGAGAGAATTAGTGCTCCAAGGTTGCTCACTGACTCCGGTTTTTCTGGTGGGAGAAATAAAACATGGATGCCATGTGTGATGATTTGAATATGCTTGGTCCAGGAGAAATGGTACTATTAGGAGGCGTGGTCTTGTTAGAGTAGGTGTGGCCTTGTTGGAGGAAGTGTGTCACTGTGGGGATGGGCTTTGATATCCTATGCTCAAAGCTCCACCCACTACAGAAGAAAGCCTCTTCCTGGCTGCCTACAGAAGGGTTTTCTCCTGATTGCCTTCTGATCAAGATGTAGAATTCTTAGCTCTCCTGGTACCGTGTCTGCCTGGATGCTGCTATGGTTCCTGCCATGATGATAATGGATTGAACCTCTGAAACTGTAAGCCAAACACCATGACACATGGAGACTGAAAAGACCCATGGAATCTTGGCCGAGAAAGTGAAAATTACAGTGTTCATGTTACCTGGAATAGATTTTACCAGATAGTTGCTTAGAATTTTATCAAGGCATCCCAGTTTTTAAAGAAATATTTATATATTTAATATCAACAGTACATACATTATGTGACAATACTTATAGCAACCATTTTACTCAAAAGAGGATAAATATACTTAATTCTGTTTTGTTTCCGTATACACAAAACTTAAAATTTTAGAGGAAAAAATTGAATTGTATACAAGACTCTTGAAATTATTATATTATTTACAAATATGTTGCATTCCCATAGATGGAGCTTTTATAAGTGCTCTGTATGGTGAAAATTGTAAAATAAACGCATAAAATATACAGTTTGGCTACTACATTGCTGCAAATGGTTTTAGAATGTGTGACCTCGAAAAATGTCTGAATCAAAAGGAATGTAGGAATCAAAATGATGTAGGCTTCAAGAGATAGATTTTAAAACCCCTGTCAAAACATACAACTAAGCCATAACCACAGCATTTACCAATAGCAAAAACCCAAAGATAAAATTCAGCTTTGAGGCAGAGGAATTTGCTGCCATTTTGTCAGGGAAAGGAGAATTTTTTTAATACTTTATGTGAGAGTGCTGTATTTGTATTTCCTCCATGTTCTGAAGAGAAATGAAGAGTGGGGCAGACAACATACTGTTATTCAGATTGGTTGTTATTCACTCACCCAAGAAAAGAGGAGGCAGGAATCCTCAAAGTACAGAGGGTGGCACATTTTATTTATGAAATTTTGTCAGTAAGACTAGAAGTAAATACAGAACTAGCACATTTGTGATGCTAAAAGAAAAATAAGGAATAAGTAGAGTATTTGTTGTTCAAGGTTAGGTGAAGTAGCTACGTAGCTGGTACTCAAGGACAAAGTGGCATGCTTTTCTCTCAAAGTCTTTGTACTTCTAAAAACCATCTACTACTTAACACTCATATGTAAACCAGACGTCAGCACAAGGCTAGCATAGCGTACACATGGTGTATGGTAAACCCTTGATCATTTTCTAAATGACATATGATAAGGTGTCTTGTGATTAAATGGCTGTTAGAAGAAAAGCATTGCCACTCTGGTTCCTGAGAACTCACAGCCATGTCCAGGACAACACCCTAATGTATTGTGGGTGTATTCAATACATGAATAACATGAACCATTCAAGAAGTAGCCTGCATTCTCACAATTCTTATCTGTGTTATTTTTCTTTCCCATCTGAAAACAGAAACTACTCTATGGTTCTACAATGGTCAAGGTCTATCTCTTTTGTTATCAGCCATTCATTATTAGTATAAGCCAGACACGGTGGTTTCAGGTTCCCTGCCTGTTCAAGCAATGAAATGCAACAGCATTATCTGATTCATGAGCTGCAAGATTGGATTAAAAGGAAGAGTTTTGGGAAAAGGAATGGAGTAGCCTGTGCGAAAAGAAAACTAGGAGAGAGACCACAAAGCCTTGTCAGTGAGCACAAGAACAGCAGAGAATAGTTTTTTGAAAAGAGGGGAAGCAATAAAAAAGACAATGCTGAGAATTTTAAACAAAGGAAAATCAAGTATGTGGATTTTCCCACAAGTAAGACTGGTTCGTTTGTCCTATAATTTTCTGTGAAATTATTCACTGGTTTGAAAGACCAGGAAATGGAGATTTTATTTATTTAAATATCTTTTGCGCAAGAGCTACTGAGATGCTAGCACATACCCACTGTAGCTGATGTCTAGTGTTATCAGTAAATAGGAACCTCTGAGCTTCTGAGATCCAGGCACACACCAACTGTAGCTGATGTCTAGTGTTATCAGTAATATGGGAAGCTCTGTGAGTCAGCTGGTGAGATGCTCAGTTCTAAAGGAAGGGTTCTACTGGTCACACTCCAAGCTAGGGTTGTCCTAAGTGCTAGATTAACACCCACAAGGATCCTAGCTGCTGCTGGATCCATTGAAGGAGGCTCAACATGATGTAGTAATAACTGCAAAAGGACCACTTTCCTAGGAGCAGGAGAAGTAAAGTCTTGTCATTTACCATCCTGAAATATGTTACTTTGTTTTCAGGTCATAAAGAAAAATGAATGTCACAATAAAAACCTAATCAGACCATGTGGTTCAGTTTATTTACCACATATAGAAATGACAAGGTTCAAAACATTTGTTTTTTCAAATATTAAATAGAAAGAGAAAATAATAAAAGTTTTCTGGTCAACTCTCAAATAAAATTTTATGTGTATTTCTCATAGTAGCAATACATCATTGTCTTCAAGGCTGTGGTTTTTTTTTTGGTTTTTAAAGAAATCCTTAATCATATTTTGGAATGCACATAGGGTGTGTGCGTATGTGCCTGTATGTGTGTGTGTGTGTGTATGTGTGTGTGTCTGTGTGTATTGGGTATTATGTCTTCCATAAAGCATATGTGGAGGTCAGAGAATAACCAGTGGGAGTCAGTTTTCTCCTTCTACAATGTAGGTTCTGGGGACCAAACTTGGGTTGTCAGGCTTGACACCAAGCATGTTTACCTGATGGACCATTTCAGCACCCAATTGCTACATGTTTATAACATCAAATCAGTAAATTAAAACCTAGCACGCTTTCTAAGAACATTAGCCTTTTAAATTATTTTTACAATTTTATGAAGATCCAAGACACAACCCTAAGACAACTATTTTTTCTTTCGTTCAGGGGTTTCAGTGTTCATTTTGCCTCAATCTGAAAGGCTGATCCTTTTGTGCCAAATCGTTGTATGTACTGAGCATAACCATTAATCACCCATGTGGTTAAGTCATGATCTTGAAACAAATTTTAAAATGGAGACTTTAAAAGTAGTGATGATTGTAGATATTAAAAATATTTGGCTTCTATTATTTATATTTTTATGTGCCATCACCTGTCATTATAATCTTACAATAGAGCTATTTGAGGGTAGTTCTGAGGCTAGAAACTAGGACCTAATACATGCTAGACAGGTGCTATTAATACACCCAGAACTTTGCCTCCTACTAAGAACTACTTCCTATGAAGGTCGTTTTGGAATTTTGAATAGGGAGTGATGGATTTTGAGCTACAAATATTAGCCTCGCTCACCCATCCCTCTGAAGTGCTCTGCTTCTCAAAGCCTTTTCACACACTTACATTTCTACCCCAATTGTTTTCTCTTTCAGTGTCACATATGAGAAAAATGTGACGTGCAGCCATGCTAAGGAAATAGGTTGAATGGCCTAGGCAATTACAACATTTTCTCTAACCATTGTTTCATTTTTCTTCCAGACAGCCAGTCATGAAAAAGGAGAAGAAAAAACAGCCCAGTTTCCAGGTCACCTTGCTTTTACCTTTTGTTGTCATCCATGATGTCTCTCTTGACTTTCATCCTGTCCTCTCCTATGTCTTGGTGAAAACTGTAAAGACAGATACATGTATCTGTTATCAATTTCATCCATTGTGTCTGGTCAGCAGCAAAACTGGAGGAGCTGAGAGAGTGAGGAGGATGGAGAGTCTAATACTGCTTTCCTAAGTGTGTGTTCCGAGGTGCCCAAGTAGGCACAGCTGGATAACTGTGTATCTGTGATCTCCCAGAGATCCACAGAGCATTTTAGTAGATCACAGACCCTGAGACACTCCAGGAAATAATCTGCTTCTTCTATCTCCTGAACTTATTGAACAACTCGACCCTTCTCCTGTGTCAGTACATCTCTGACTGAGATTTAAGTATGAGGTTATGAAAGTGTCATTATGGGAGCCCATGTAGGTAATGTTTGGTGAAAGAAATTAAGTTGAAAAATAGTGAAAGCTCATTTTTTTTTAACTGAGGGTGTAAGCAGGTTGTCAACATCTTATTTTATAGAGAAAGTAGTTTCTAAACTGGGGTGCTACACCCAAGGCATACTCAGTGTGTTCTACTAAGGAAAGCCAAGCAGAATGTCTGTCTCTAATTACATTTTCTAGATTTTGATAAATTAGAACACATAATATACTGATTCAGTTATACATATTTGAACCATATGCACAGGTATTCAGAGAGAGGAGAAGTGGTAAATTATACATTTATATTTCTCAGATAATTAACTTCATTTACCTTATATTAACCACATAAACAGTGTAGTTCCAATTCTGGAAGGTTGAGTTGAGCTGGAAGACACAATGGAAAAGGATGAGTTTCAGTAAGGCTTAAAAACATTCTTTTGTGAGTCAAGGTTGTCGTCCCTCCAAGAGATGAGCTGTCCTCAGTACAAAGACCATGGGAAAATGCTGAAGAACCACGGGACCAAAAGACAAAGGAAGGGCTGGGAGCAGCTAGCCAAGAATGGAATAAATACTGCTTCTTTAGATCTTCACATTAATCAATGAAGCAGATACTATACTCCCACCCCATTGCCACCCTCCTTTTTGTTTCTTTTCTTTATTTTTTTATTGGATATTTTATTTACATTTCAGATGTTGTCTCCTTACCCCATTCCCCCCCTACCCAGAAACCCCCTATCCCATTCCCCATCCTCCAGCTTCTATGAGGATGTGCCCCCATCCACTCCCCGACTCCCACCTCCCCACTCTCGAATTCCCCCACACTCAGCATCCAGCCTTCATGGGACCAAGGACCTCCTCTCCCACCTATGCCAGACAAGGCCATCCTATCCTACATATATAGCTGGAGCCATGGGTCTCTCCCTAAGTGCTCCCAGGCTGGTGGTTTAGATTCTGGGAGCTCTGGTTGGTTGATATTGTTGCTCTCCTCATGGGCTGCAAACCGTTTCAGCTTCTTCAGTCTCACCACCCTCTTATTTATAAAGAAATGGAAGTTTGGAGAGGAGAAACAGCTTTCCAGAATCATCTGCTAATCAACAGAGACCTCCTCCAGGACACCTCATGTAGCAGGAAACACTGTCATCTCTTCTCTGTCTAATATTCTAGTTGCAACCCCTTGATTAATACCTTCTTTAATTTGTGTTTAATAAGTATTGCGATGAAATTAAACATGTTTTGTAGTAATTGTCATCTCATCAGAACATCAGTAACAATTAAAAAATATAAACAGGAAAATATGTCTTTGATGAAGCCCAAAGGCATGGGGCCTATGCCATCTTTGTGTGTCAACACGAAATCCTGCTACTGTAAGTCACCTTCCAAGGCTTCTTTAGGTCATAGTTCATATACATCTTTAGTTTTATTGTAAATATTATTAAAATGGAATGGAAACTCTAGATAATATTGGCAAAATAATGATAATTATTTTGTGTATTATTAAGTTGTTTATGTTTTATCTAAATTTAGTACTTGGGGCCAAAAGTATTTCAGATTTCTGGTTTTTTCCCCCTGAATTTGGAATGTTTGCATAGACTTCACTGGTTTATCATAATCCAAAATACAAAAGAGGTCTGTCAGATTTTGAGTTTTCAAGTTCGATGACCCCTGCCCTATAATGGGTATTGGGGATATCAGTCATCCTTGCTGTTTGCAAGCAGCTTCTTTGGAAGCCTGAATCATAAATGGAGGTATCTAATAAAGCTTGCCCTCAGATGATAACGATGCTGGGTTACAAACCACACAGGACTGAATGTAATGTAAAATTGCACCCTGTCTAGTGGCAAGGTTCCTAGTTAGAGCTCATTTTCATGATTAGTAATATTACCCATGGCTCGAGAACGAAAATAAATAATTTTATTTTTAGAGATCAGTCTGCCTATAAAAACAAATAAAAGAACACTGTGGAAAGAAAGTGGGATAGAAGAAGGTACCCTTTTCCATAGCCTACTGCCCATGGGCAAACTGAGCACACAATTATTGCTTCCATCCATGAAGACTACTTAGGCTCACTTCTGTATACTGTACCCAAATACATCTCTTGTTTCTGTCTAGTCATATACTGTTGCAAAATTTTCTATTTTATGTTTAATTATGTATATCTATCTGGTGAGGGGTAGGCAGGCACATATCAGTGCAGTGCCCAAAGAGACCAGGAGAGGGCATTAGATCTCCAGGAGCTGGAGTGGCAGGCATGTGTGAGACACCTGAAATGGGTGCTGGGAACTGAAACTAGTCAGTCTGAAAGAACAGTATCCACTCTTGACTACTGAGCCCACCCTCCAGCCCTCTATTATTATTATTATTATTATTATTATTATTATTATTATTATCATTAATGAGCATAATTTGTACAGTAATAAAAGCTATGGTTTTGTTCAGAATCTTTACAATCTATAAAGAAGATACAGTTTCAGAGCAAAAAGTCAATAGAATAACCCCACTTACCCATTCTGCTACTTTGGTCTGCACTTTTACTTCCGGGTGATTAAAGTCGTTGTGAATCACAACAGATATTCGATACATTATTCCATCTGTATATTGGAAATAGTATTGATAATTAATTATATTTTACTTGTGGAACAAACAATACAAATTCATCATCACATCATTGCATGTAATTGAAGGACACAAAGGCACCAGAAGTTTGGAGGCCAATTTTGATGTTAGAATTACTGTTGCAACTGCTTAGAAGTAGCTAGTGATTAGTTTACTCTTGTAGATATTTCATTGCTTCTAAATTATCACTTGGTTATGACTCTTGTAGTAACTGCAAACTATTATTTTTTCCTTCTATAGATTCCTGATACCTAGGACTGATGAAGTGTTATTTTTTCCACGAGAGGTGAGATTTTTTTAGATATTATGAAATTATGCTTTTTTGTATATGATTTAAAATGGTAATTTGAGAATGAGAAACATTAAGTGGGATTCTTGACAAGATCTATACTGGAAATGAACCAGTGATCCTCCCTGCCACCTTTCCTCATCTCCCTCTCCCCACTTCTACTTAAAGTACTGAGTTGGATTTCATTTAATTTCTAAGAACAGCTTCTTTACCAAAGTAGAGAGGAGAAGGGTAATATTTACAGGTAGACTCTTAACTGATTTAGTGGGCTTTATAGAGAAAACCATATCCTGAAAAGAAGACTGTATTTTCATCTTAGTGGATTTTTAAAGTGTTGAGTCTTTTTGTCCTCACAAAAATGAGCCCATCAGAAAGGGCTTGGTAGACTATAGTAGCTAGCTGTGAGCCACAGGGCACTTGACTCAAAGTAGCCAATGGAGGGGGCATCCTTTTAAAATAGAAGTTAAAGAGAAGTGGAAAATGAGTATCTATCATTGTTAGCCACCTCTCTCCACCTTTTTAGGTAAATCTTAAGCAAGAAACATAAAATGTCTAGAAACATATAATTAAACAATGCTGAGAAGTCCATTCAATAAAAAATTTGTGAAACAGTACAAAAATATATCAAATTTTGTGTTTGGAAAGTCCCAGCTACAGGAAAAATACTAAAATCCCAATCCTATAAGTATCATGTGAAATAATAGATATGTCTATCTTCTCACACAGTTATGCAAATATGTAAAAATAAGTTCAGAGACTGGTGACTTTAATATATACAGATGAGGTTATTTCAATGTCTAACACTCCTACTGCTTTAGTAATCTTGAATTTTATTTTCTTTCAGAGCATGTTCCAAATGGTAACTATTTAGAACACATGTAAAAAGAGATGGTGATAACTCAGATTTTATAAAAACCTACACAGTAGGTCTCATCAAATCGGAGACCGGCTGAGTGGCTTGGAGGAGCTGCAGAAGTCCAAGTGTGCCAGTGTCCAAGGGATAGTCTATACACAGTGGCAGATCCCAGAGTATCTAAAAGCTACCACTAGATGGAGTACTAAATATAAGTAATTATTTTTCTCTTACATTTAAAAGATTACAAAGCAGTAAAATGTCAATATTCTAACCACTGACATTTCTGAAAATTTATGGAAGCATCCAAATACTTAGCCCAGTTTCTTTACGTTTTAAAAATGTTTCCTGCTCCACTATTTTTCAGTTCAATGATTTCATAAAATGAAACATTCAGCATCAGATAACCTTAATGCTCTTTAGCACTGCTTATGAGAGATACAAATAGATTAATATCACAAAAAAACTACTGTCTGTATTACAGAATTCTTTTGTCTTGTGAATAATTATCAAGTAGTCTCTGCTTGGAAGCCTCAGTACTAGACATTTAGCTAAAGACGCAGTGGGACTTACTTGTCACTTTTTAAAAACTTTTTGAGATATGTATTCAATGAGTAATTATGTGCTATATCCAAAGGGAACCAAATGAACCAAAGAACATGGAATGTCTACTGGTGGTCTGGTGACACCAGGAGGTTTCTTTGAAAAAATAATTTGTTTAAACATTGTCACTGGGGAAAATGCTGTTAATACAAATAGACCTCCTGATGTTATCAGAGCAGCAAGTCATTGCCTACAGATAGAAAACTGGCATGATATTCTAGTATCAAAGCCAACTGCAAATCTTCATGCAGCCACATGACTTAAACAATGTATGCATTGTTCTAACACTAGCATATAGACCAGAAGAGCCTCTGATAGAATTTTTTAAAGGAAGAAACAGACTTATTTAAATAAGTTTATATTATCTATGCTTCAGTCAGTAGCTCGTCTAGTCCTATAAAACTTCAAAGAGCTATTGCAGATACGGTATTAAAGTAGGTCTCTCCACTTAACCATCCAAGTTTCTTGAGGAATATGAAAATTATCATTAAAGTTACAAGATATCAGATTGAAATGATGAGCTTAAGTATATTTATTTGAACATACAAGGTGAAAATCCAACTCACATGTTATTTTAGATTTCAGATAATTCTTCCAAACTGACGAGAAGGCAATTAAGAAGTTGAATTTGTACTACAAATGGCAAACTGCAGAGCTTTCTATGCCCAACTTCTTTAAGACATCTGGCATGTAAATCTACAATGACTGGTGGACCCATACAAATGTCTTAGGAGTGAATTTGTTATTTGACTAGCTTAACACAGGTGAGTAATTGGAAGGAACATTGCAATTGGCACTTGTGAACTGGATTTTCAGAACAATAATGAGAACAGGTGAAGTTAATTCCTTAGTTGGGTTGCTTGTGCCTACATCACAGACATTCACTGTTCAGTAGGATTGGTGTTGATTCAAGCAAAAGCAACATCATTTGGAAGTAGCATGCCAGCAACATTTTGGGAGAAAGTCAAGGAGATTGGGCAAAGATTCATTATTTGTGGAAATACCTAGACTATCTATAAAAATTAGACTAAACTCTCTTGGTTTATAATACTAGGTACTGGATGCAAATTTTATTTAAAATGTTGAAAAGAACTTTGCAAAGAAAAATAGGAATACCACAATTAGAAGCAATTTGGTTGTCATGGTGAGGTAAACTATTTGATTATCTTGTGTTCTCCTCCCCCCCTCTCTCCCCACTGGTAGAATATAATTGATGAACTCAATAAAATTCTGACAGCTCAGAGTTAAAAGGGCTGGATAAGGTAGAGATTAGATTTGACAGTTGTCCTAATCTTTCCAGCCAAGGAAAAATATGATTTTCTAATATATCAGATGATAGCCTGAGAATGTTTACTGTAACAGTTTCTCAAAGAATAAAAGAAATGTTGATAATATGTGAATGACATTAGAGGGTCTGGGACTTGACATAAATGTGATTTATTTACAGAGAAAAAAATCTCTCCTCAATTATTTTAAATTAGAACAGAAGGAAAATTTATGTGACTAGCTTTTGTCTGGAATACTTGGTTACTTCTCTCTTTTATTTTTTAGAAAAGATAATAAAGGGGCTAGGCTGTAAGCCCCCAGAAGTGCAGTAGAATATGAAAAATAGTTGTGAAACACTGTGTTCCTGCACTTCCTTTAAGTTTTCACTTCTGAAGTGAGAACATCATTATAGAACACAGTGAAATTCCATATAAATACAGATAAAGTGGCCAATGTAAGAGAAGCACATGGTTCAAGTATATGATTAAAATTGCTAAGATGGTAAAAAAAATATTTGAAGCCTCAAATTTTGAGAGTATTTCCAGTACACTGATTACTTTAACTGTTAAAAAATTATGTTAACTACAACAGTTGTCTGAATTAGATTCTTCCTTACGAATGTGGTCATTATAAGCCATGTTAAGTGATTCTAATATTTGCCTGCTTTGTTGAAACTCCATTGAAGGTTATGACGCAGAGAGGGATGGCCTGAACAAGGCTCTCTTCAAGAGTGTCAGAAACTGTATGATCAAATGAATACAGCTCCAATCCACCAAGTTAAGGGCTCTGAAGCCGTCATGTCAACGTTCTTGGGCAGCAAAGGATGTATCAGTTCGGGGGTGTGTGTGTGGAGAATGCCACAGAGGCTCTTTGTGTATTCATACAAAGAGGGAAATACTTAGTTAGAATTATAATATTCCCATTGGCTGGCCGGAATCCATGTGAAATATGCAGTGGAAACTGTAACTGATGTTACTGCTTACTTGGGGAGGTGGTGCTAGAATCATAAATCTCCGCCATGTAGCTAGTGCAATAACCATAAGTACTTCCTTGATTCGATGTCTTTATAACTCTAATGAAATTTATATCTATGTTACGTGTAAAATATTTCATATTCCAATGTAAATGCTCTTACAGAGGAAGTTAATGTCACACCCGAAGCCCTCAGGGGAAGTACAAGTGAACTATGTGGCTTTATTTTATTTTCCCTGGGTTTTGGAACCCTGGTGACATACAGATCAGAGATGTTTTGACCTTACATGCTAAAGGACTGAGTTTTATAAAACTCCTTTGCCTCTAGTATCTCATATTTGAGAATATTATTGTGTTGAAGGCAGTGGGGCAGTCTCTTGATTGGAATTTGTTTTTATCACAGGAAACTGAAACCACTAACTTCAAATTGCATGTGACCATGTATGTGATCTGTATGTACAGCAGAATTATGAAGACATCTGGCTTTTCCTCTAATGGTTTCTCCAAAAATGTAACAGGCACATTTGAATAGTATGGTTAGTACCAATAGAAAGTGCAAATGGAGAAAATAAGGGCAGCAAATGTTGAAAATTATTTGAAATTTTCTTTCAAAAATTGGGGCTCCAAGTGGAGCTCAAAGGCAGGCACTTGCCTTAACCCTGGAGTTAAGCCTCTTCCTGTGCCCCCCCCCCCCATAAACCCTGTTTGGTGACTTACTGAAAATACATGCTAACCAGTGTTCATTAAGAAGTGATTAAAAGTTGCAACCTGTTGCCATGGCCACTGATATAAATGTTGTGTTTAAGCACAAAACTGACTTCTATGAAAAATTAAATGCCAAGAATCAAGTCTCTAACACATCATAGCATCCTTTTAAAAACCTGTTTCCTCAGGCAGAACCTTTGGTACTGTCCAGACTGCTGCTCTTTGGGGTACACAGAGAAATCCCATTTCTCAGCAAATAGAAAGTTTCTCAATTGTAGCAATTTAACAAAAACACTATATAGAAAAGAACATTTCTTTTTTCTCTCAGATATGTTAAAATGAAAATTAATTCCTTTCAATTGAATGATGTTTTCTTTCCTTTTTGGGGGGAGGTAGGGAGTAGTTTTGAGACAGAGTTTCTCTATATACCCCTGGCTGTCCTGGAATTCACTCTGTAGACCAGGCTGTGATCAAACTCACAGAGATCTGCCTGCCTCTGCTTCCGAGTCCTGGGATTAAAGACATGCATCACCACTATTGCCCAATTTTTAACTTCAATGTGAAGACATCCTCAGAGCTATTGGTTCATTTGAGATCAGAGATGATGATTCTTTTCCTGGTCTTCAAATGCACAGATGAACCAAGGGTTGCCAGTCATAGAGGTTTGCTGGAACATTCTACATTCCCACTCTCAGAATACAATTTTATATACTCCAGACATACTACACATAGTATCTTACCAAATGAATCTTACCATTCTTTTGTTTATGGATTCTGTTAGTAGCGGGGATATTAGTGGTGACAATGGGTGGTGGACTAGAAGGAGGAGGGTTTACAGTAGCTGGTAATAAAGATGAGAGAGATGCAAGTTTACAAGGAGCATAAAACAGTTAATATGGATAAGCAATCTACAGCTAATTTATGAAAATGCATAGAAGAGCTGAAACTATTTCATGCTACTAATACAATAGACTAAAAGCTTACAATGCAAAAAAAAATAAGGAAGCAAGGCTTTCTATGGTACATGAAGAATCAGTTTGCATGGCTTTGCTGCAACATTGTACACTGGTCTAGAGCTGGCACAGAGGAAACTGAGAAAACACAGTGCAGTTCTATACCCACTTCTGTTCTCAACAGGCTGGTAACACATGGAAAATGAACTTGTTCCAAGAGCTAGTATCCAGAGACTGTTTAAAGAAAGTTAAAAGCAGGCAATCTGCATAGATTAACCTTAGAAGTTCAATGAATCAGCCTGCACTGTTATACAAAGACTAGAGGAATAAAATACCAAAATAAATAATAAATTAAATTAAAAAATAATTATTTTTAATTAATTAATTAAAATAAAAAATAATCAATCAAGTATAAAATAATGAAGAAATGATATAGAAAATTACCTACTAAAGGTACCAGAGAAAATGCCAAACTCCTTGACATAAAATATATGTGGCTACAATAATGCTACAATAATTTTCTTTCATTTGTTCTTGTTTTTTGTTTTTGAGACAAGGTTTTTCTGTGTAACAGCCCTGGTTGTCCTTTGTAGCCCTTTGTAGACCAGGCTGGCCTTGAACTCACAGAAATCTGCCTGCCTTTGTCTGCAGAATGCTGGGAATAAAGGCATGAGATACCATGTCTGGCAAAATAACTTCCATTCAAAATAAAAAGTTATGAAATCACTTTAATGGCTTTGTTAAATGTGAAAAATTGTGTTCATCTTAATTCAAATGCATTGTGAAAATGCTTTTATTCATTAAGGAAAAAACAAACTACAAGACAAGAAAAAGCTGAGTTTCTGGTCATTTGGTCCATGAAATGAGTATTTTAGATACTTAAATTAAAATAATACAAAATAAATTAATTGATGTTTGAAGCCTTCACAGCAAAGGTCTTCTGGTCTGTTTTATAAAACTATTTCATAACTGCAGAAAGTTCATGGAAAGAAAAAACCACTCAATTATCATGGAGAATTGACTGGTAATATTATTCATGCATCTTAGAAGGGAAATTAAAAAATAATGAGTTTCCTCCTTCCTCTGTCTTGCTTGATCTTGCTTCTAATCTGTTACCTTTGTGCTGTGAACCTCTTAACCAAGCCAGCTTTTATGGAAAGGCATTCCAATGGTTCTCACGTGGAACATAGAAGATACTATGTTTTATATAGGTATGTAACATGTAACATGACAATTGGATGAAAATGGGTCACAAAATATTAGCAAAATGATACATTTAAGGCAACACATTTATATTACTATTTATGCTATATGTTACATATATGTGTAACTATGCTATTAGCATGCAACTACCTTCAATTTTACTCACATAAACAATTTTATTCACAATATAGTCATTAAGGATCAAAATAATTAACACAGTTAATACTATCATTAACTTGCTGTAACCATATTTATCCTAAAATTTAAGATATATATTATAACATAAATTGCCTCCTGGCCTCATCTTCAATCTTTTCTAAACACTCAACATGCGTTATCCTCAATTTATGAATATGAGTACTGCTTCAAAATATTGTATGACTGCATACCCAAGATGCTTACAGAAATCTTGGGAAGAAACATGGGGAGAGATGAAATCAGCTGTTGTTGAGCACCTTGTAGCCATTCACATTTAGAAAACCCGAGCTTTGTGTCAATATAGCCAATCTGTCTGGACAGCACATTATTTGTACACACTGGTACTGAGTACCCACACAGCCAAAACACATCCAGAAACTCTGTTTTGCTGTTTCTGGCTTTTCAGGTGAACATTAAGATGACATCTACAACTTCCCAAACAGCAAGGGTTAAGAACATGAAAAGGTTTCAGAAGATGATGTCGATTCCTTACCTTGACAGAGAGTCCCCAGATCTGAACAGTTTGTCAGCTCTGCTGCAGGAAGCGGGATCAGGTAGGAACCTTGGTCAACACAGAGGCATACGCAAATTTAACTTGTGATTTGCTAATATAATCCAAAAAGTAAATATTATCAATCATGCAATTCATAAAGCAGAAACAATCTTCAGAGAGTCAACTGACTCAACTACTCCCACAGAAAAATGTCTTTTAATTTGACTGTGCCATACTTTTCTCAAATGGAGAATTGAATAATTCAAATTGCCCACAAATTCTTGAGCTCAATGCTTCAGCCATATGCACATGGAGTAAAGAAGTGTGATTGTGCTTTAGTTTATGTAAAACACTTGGGGATTTTTTTTGAATAATGAACTATGTGACCCAGGTAGCAATTCATGTAAATAGAATAATATGAACATTCAGGGTACATTTCAAAACAGAACTTGGGTATGTGAATTACTCATAAAATGCAAATTATTTGTATGTAAACACAATTATGCAACCTGTACAATTCCATAGGTATCTTTCCGGGATTTCAGATCAGTTTGTTTCGTTTGACTTCAAGCTTTCTCTGAAGCCTCCTCAACAGGAAGCAGACACTGAGCTGATTTTTCTAATAGAAATATTAGATGCTCTTTGTTACATTAACTCTTCCTGTCATGATCATAGGCTAAAGTTACTGCAAATAATATGGCACTTGAAAAAAGACTTAAGAATTAAGTCAAATATTTACATTATGCATACATACATATATACTACACCATATCTTATATATATGTGTACACACACACTTATGGCATTAGTGTAGTGGTGAATTCATTCTAATGTTTAAACATGTACCCAACTTTCCCATGGGAACACTGTGTGGAGACAGAGCAGGTGCATGAGCTCACAGAGTATGTCTAATTAGGTAAGTGAGAGACACACAAGCAGAAAACATCTCAACCATTTAATGCCATCTAGGAAGGTATGGTTTCCTCTTTCTCAGATGTCTCAGGCTCATGGAAAGGACTGTGGCACATCAGAAAAGGCCAGCTCTACAGGCAAGTCTATCATGTGACATTTACTGGCAAGAAACTACTTCATAGGTTCCTGTAACAAGCACAGACACGGTGATCTACAGCTTCTGAGGTGTGGCAGGCAGAAAATTCCTGCTGCCATGTCTACTGTCAGAGAGGCACCAGTGGGAGCTGGCCTTACTGTAACATATGCCCACTTGCCTAGGGAAGAGCTTCAATGCTGATGGTGGCCCAATGGAAGCCATGACAGAATCTTGATGAGAAGAATGAGCAGGAAATCAGCACACAGGTACTGAGGTTGTCAGAGCACTGAGGCAAGCAGACAGGATTTCTGAAACCTATGCTTATGAGGCACTGAAGAGGACTGGTAATGCACACACTTGGCACCACTGTAGTAGAGTAATTACAGAAATGTGTGGGCATAATCAGATGTCTATCAGTGCAGTCTATGGAAGATGGTCCAGTATACAACAGCAGGACTGAGTCTTCTAATGCTGAATCTCATACGAGGTAGGGACGCATGCTCAAGCTTCACTACACAAGTTACTAAATGTGTTATGAATGACAGCTAAATATCTGAGCTCTTTAAAAAAAAAGCAATTGGAATAAGTGAAGGGGGATGTAGTGAAACCTTAGACTGTCATTTGAAAAACAACAATTTTTGATGCAATAAGATAAAAGAGTATTAATCATTCAGGCTTGACATCATGAGTGTCAAGAATGGGGACTTAAAGGGATGGATACAAGAAATGTGAAGAGATTGTGTAAGATTCGGTGACAAATTGGAAAGAGGAAGAGAAAGGGAAGAACAATTTTCAGATTTCCAATTGAGAAACTGGGTGTGATGACCTATAAGTGGAGAAAAGAAACAGCAAGGGGGAATTCTCTTCTGTTGTGTCTGGCAAGGGAAGTCATTTGCCTGTTGGGCATCTATAAAGCACACCCGAGAAGAGAAGTTGTTTCCGTAAGGGACCAGTCAACAAAAGATACTGAAAGGTTTGTATTCACCAAAGTATGGGTTTGAGAAGAGAGGAGAATCGGACTTCAGCTATGTCTATAGTTAGGTTTTCAGAGCAGAGATCTGGGGAGATAAAAACAGTTCCCGGTCTAGGTGGCTTCACAAAAATTAAGTAAAGAGCGTTGAATGGAGAGTCTGTCAACATTGAGTGGAACTGATAAGGCTGACTTGATAAAGACTGAAAAAAAAGCAAAACCTTTAACTGCGCCATACAGGAATCAGTGTCAGTCTTGTGGGAACAATGAAACTCAGACTGTGGAGCTTTGGAGAGTTAACCACACAGGAGGAAGCCTGGCTGTGCAAGGAAGCAGAGATAGGGAAGGGGAGTTGTGAAGACTGAAAACCTAACCCAGCATGTACTCTGGAAAAAGTGTGTGATGTAGTGAAATGGAGGGAGGCTGGAGAGAGAAGGAGGGAGCTTGTACATGTCCACTCTTTCCAGGGCCTCACTTCTACAGGCCTTCCTTCATGTTTTAGAAGGGACTCCTAGAAAACTAACAAGCCTATCAGACTCACGTGACTAGAGAAATCTCAGCTTTGCAACACAGCACTATGGAGACCCTTGGATGAGGTTCCTGCAGTTCTCAGATTACACACAATGCTGGCAGTCCAGGGCTCCTTAGAGGCTTCTGGAACTGATACAGTATCTCTCCAAGACAAAGAGAGATAAGGCACAAGGTTGTGGGAAAGGAGTTCTTAGGCTAACTACATGTCCACTGCAGTGTATCTATCTAAGAGCTCAGAGGTGGCGGTGAGGGAAAATTTCAGAAGAGCTATGATTTAAAACAAGATCTTGACCATTTTATCAGCATCAGTGTATACACTTCAATCTGGGACTTCCTGTCGGCTAAAACCGTAAACATTCACTTCTGAATATTTTAATTAGTTGTTCTCTTTAGAGGAAGGCCACGTTTATCAAATTGCTAGCATTGTATAAATACTGAATAGATACCATTGTATTATGGTCTCCTGGAGCAATAGAAATTACATCTGAATTATTTTAAGTGAAAATGGCACAATAACAAAAGACCTAATTTAATTAGAAGGAAATTACACTCTTGCATTACAAATGCATGAGACTACATAAACAGATACATAAAATACTGCTGGAGTATGTTGAAATACCACTGTCATCTTAGCTGCACAGGAGGTTGAAGCGGGAGGAGCACTTGAGATCAGCAGTTCAAGGCTAGTCTGCTGAACATAACAAGACAGCACCTCAGATAAATAAGGAAATATGCCCACAGCATACACAAAGTGTTCATTTGATACTCAGCTGTACTTTCATTGCCCAGTTTTCTAGGCTTACAGATTTACAAGTTGGGAGACAAACTCTTGTTTGGGATAATGACCTATCAGTCATCAGTGATGCTTAAGTGATCTCTGTGTGTTCATGGTCTGGCTTTGAGTTTCTTCAAAGGTACTTAAAGCTTATTAGCTAACAGAAAAATTTAGAGTTACATATAATGCATTAAAAAAAGAAATCTTGAAAATGGGGAGCTAGGACTGGGGATACAGCTCAGTGGGTAGAGTGCCTGCCTAGAATTCATGAAACCTTGAGTTCCAGTCCCACTACATTGGATTGGCATGGCGGCACACAACCTAACACTTGGGAGGTGGAAAGAGGAGGACCACATCAAGCTTATTGGTACCCAGGGAATTTCAGACCAGCATCATTAGGTATGTTGTCTCAAAGAGGAAAACAGGTAGTTGGGCTTCTATTCTTTCTACTCTTCTCCCAGCCACACTAGTGAAAGGAGTCACTAGTATTATACAAGGTGTGCTAAATAGAACTGATGTGTAGCTAGCAGGTCATCACATATCCTCCTTAATAATTTTAATCTTAGCAAAGTAAATTATAAAATGTCAGAAAAATGTTTTCCAAGTTTCTCTTTGTTGATGTTACTAAGATGAATTTTATAATTTTTCATAAGTAAATATATTAAATTATTTTATGATTTTTTATTTTGTGTTTTTCTTTTTTGTATTATGATGGATGTGTATGCATATGTAGGTTTGTACGACTATATCTGCATGTGTATGTATGTGTACATATGTGTGGAGGCCCAGAAACTGATGGCAGGCATCTTCTTCAATCGCTTTCCATATTGTCTTTTGATGCAGAATCTCTGATTCAACCCGGAACTCACTGATTCCATTACACAGCCTAATTAGTGTGCCCCAGAGACCCTTTCCCTGCCTTTCCACTCTTGGGATTACAGGTATATAATTACAGTCTTTTTAGGTGGGTTTCAAGATCCTAACTCAGGTCCTTTGACATCTCCTCCAGTCCTATTTTATAAGTTTTATTATTATTTTGTATATACAATTATTTCTAAAGATTACCTGTGTTCTTCATGAGTTTGAGCACCCTCAAAGAATAACGTGCTTGTCAAGATAAAGCAATTATAATTTTAGTTAAAAATTATCTAATAATCTAGCAATGGTGAACTCAGTAATTGGCTGTGCATGAAACTAAGGATCAGTAATTGAATTTTAGAGCTAAGAAAGTCAAGACTATAGTGTATTACTTAGTTAATTATGAGAAATGGTGGGAATTTGAAAGTTAGTGATTAGGAGCAGAAATTTAGAGAACTAAAGTCCATTGAAATATCCATAAATTTCTAGAAAAGAATGCAAACAAAGCTGGGTACTTACAACTTGTGTCTTATCTCTACGTCCACAGTGACTAAGACAGGGAAGTGCTTAAGAAATGCTGGACAAATACATGTAATTTGCTTGAACTTAGGCTGCTCATTGAGTTATACTATACCACTCCTCAGGAAAGAGCAGTAATCAGTTAAATAAATAAAACCAGCAGAGAAAGTACTGTCTGTTCTTTGTGAAAAGCGAAGGGCAGTCACCAGTGTCTAAACTGTAATCATAACACAGCAGATACTTGTATCTATAATTAAAGGGTCAGAAAAGGAAATGACCTGTTCCTGAAGGTCATAAAATGGGGTATGTTTGAAAACTGTTCTAGGAAAAATAAAGATGCTCTAAGGTTTACAAAGAACTATTGATAAGACCACATTTTTATCAGAGAAGAACAGACAAGATTGACTGATTTTTAAAAAGACAAACCAGCTTTAAAAAAATTAATTCATAGATAGTCCCAAAATATTTCAAAAAAATGTAGCAAAGCAAAATAGCACGATTATGAAATTGTTGAATCAGTTATTGATGACATTGGTTTTAATGTGTGACATGTGATAGCATAGTTATATACTCAATGTGATCTGTTCTGTCTGAGCCCCTTATTTTCTCTTTCTGTAATTTATCCAGTCGCACAGAGATGGAAAACATATTCATTTTGTACCACAAGTGAATACTAGAATAGTCAATACTTGGCAGACTTGGCCAGTCTTCTGGAATGTAAGGAATGAGATTGCACTTTCCCATTGGTTACTGTACTCACTGAAAGCTTGGGGAATTATGATGACTCTCAACAGCAATCACAATATTTTCCGGGGTGGGGTGAAGAAGGTTAAAATGTTAACAGAGCACCTTTTATTTTTCTTGATGATTGAAGTTTTGCTTAACCAACAAGGCCAAGATACAATCTGGTACAGGTATTTCCTGTCAGTTAATAAGTGACTTAAACTCTTCAGCCCCAGGGGGATGATTAAGCAGCAGGAATTTCCTTCTCCCACCAATCCTCCTGACAGGCACAGCAAGACATCTGGGTGCACAGTTGGGGGTTGGGGGGTAGTGTCACCCTGGAATGTCGAGATGACTGCTATAAAGTTAATGAGAATCAACTGCATTGAGTCTGTAAGAGTGGGCTGTCTTACAATGAAATCGTTTTGTGGACTTACACATGACTAAGATATGTGAGCACTCATTTGATAAGTTCTGGTAATCTTCAGGCTTTAGGATGAGGTGGTGTTTTAACCTCAGAGGCGGTGTTTAAGAAAATAGAAGGAATGCATGATCTCACTTATGTGTGGAATCCCAAGAAGTTGAAATCATAGAAATAAAGTAGACTTGTGATTCACAGGGGCTGGAGGGCAGAAGGTGGGTCAAAGGGACTAGAGATTATCAACCAAAGGGTAAAATTCTAGGAGTAGTTAGTTTAGATGATCTATTATACTGCATACAGTTGTAGTTAAAAATGATGTAGCATGAAGTTTGAATTTGCTCAAAAAGGGCTAACAGCATAACCAGTCTCTGATCCTTTCCCTGAATGCAAAACACTAAAAGGAATTTCTAAAGATTTAAAATTTTTTCACTATGAATTCATGACTAAGTAGGATGTAGTAGTTTAAATTACCTGTTTTATAATATATAGGGAAACATCATGTTAAATAAATAGATACATTTTATCAATTAGAATAGTATTAACTAATTAAAAATGCTTTCAAAGGTGAGATTAACAGGGATAAATTGATGATGTGTGTGGTAGCAAACTAGCCACTTCAACAACTGATCAGTTATATGCTTCATTTTCCTCACTACTTAGAGCAAAAAGAGTGCTCTCAATTGAGATCTTTCAGTTTAAATGCCAACCAGGGTCAGAAGGTAAGCCTAAAGAGGAAAAAGCCAACAGGACTGGGGAGTTGGGGTTATAAATGTGATGGAGGCTGAGGTGAACTCTAAAACCTCTTCAAAGGGAATAGCCACCACTTTGCTCTAGCTGTGTTATCCATGCAGAAATACTAGCCAGGCATTTGTGTTTGCCAAGAAAATCAAATAATTCATTTTATGTGGAATCTAATTTTTAGTGCTGGAGACAAAGTCGCCATTGAGAAGCATAATGTGTAAGAAACACAGGTGGAGGGCACATGAAAATCAACCCCCCCCCCCTGCTCAGCTCTAAGGACTTTGCTACATCTCGTGTGTCTTTCCCACTGCTATTCCAAGTGTGAGCCTCAGCCACTCTGAGGATTCTTTGCTAGTTTGAGGACTCAGTTTTTTTACTCATGAAGACTGATGATAAACATTTTAGGATGATGGGGCTTAATAGGTATTGATTTTATTTTAAGATGATGGACCATGTTACATCTGTCACTATCAGACAATTTGAATTTGGCCCTGTTGGTATAATCACAGCCACTTACAGTAATAAATCTATGGGCTTAGTTGTGTTCCTATAAAACTTTATTTATAAAGCAAGTTGTCTGCCACAAGCCTTCCCACTTTGCCAAACCCTGGTCTAGAGGAGTTTCTTCAATGTCACATATAAATTCTTTTAAGTTGCAGATCTCATCTCTGTCAAAGCCCAACAGCAATATACCATCCTCAGGTACAACAGTACTGATGGTGGAATCTCTCTTTAACTAAAGTATATGTTACTAGCACCTGAGAACTCATGTTACTACATTTTAAATTGATAACAGAACCATTTTTGTGTGTGTTTATATCAGTCCTATAATATAACGTGATTTCTAGAATTAACTTGTATGATATAAAGTATACTGAATGGAAGTCTACTTCAATGTGCTTTGTGTTTCATATAATTATTTTCCTAAATAATTTACATTCAGCTATTTCCACTTTTGCCACAGTAGAAGTCTCCTAGAAACGACTGGAGAGAAGAGTATTTGAAATGAACCACTAATGTTTGCTGTCAGATAAATAGTGATAAAAGATCAATGAAAAACTTTGTAATTCTAGATTAATACAAATAGAAAATAAAATAGAAATCTGGATGTTTGACCCTCACTGAATATACACTGTCCTACATAGTGACTGTTTATTTAGGTAATGCGACTGAAATTCTGTCCAGAATCATAAGGTTCGGTATATTAGTGTAGCATTTTGGTGAGTACAGATTACAACTTATTTATTAGCTTCTTGTGGTTTAAGTCTAGTGCTAGGGGTTTCATATGTCATTTAATCATTTTGACTGTTTTTTCAGAGATAAGTTGACCTGGGGAATTCTTAAAAATGGCAAACCCACTTTCACTAAGGAAGTGTGTGTGATTCACTATCAAACGCTGTGAATAGCTGAACTGGTAAGGTTTTCTGAAGCTAAAGGAGCTCTCTGTGATGGTTCTACATATGCACATGCACATATAATTTTTTATATAAATTTTGCATATATAATTTTATATATTTTTGGTTGTGAGCCTAGCCCTCATGGGCTGAGCCATCTCTGCGCCCAGCATCTATGATTTCTTAATGATGAGTATTTTTACCAAACAATGCTTAGACTATGAAGAACATAATGTCTTACCACAGCTCAGGTTGCTCTCAGCTTTCAGAGCCTGGGTGGAGATGCTCCAAAAGTCATTGTGCCAGTCTATGACATTCCCAGGCACACTACAGGTGAGGTTAGAGAGAGCTTTTGGATCCATAGTAAAATTCCAAAGTCGAAAGTTATAGATGCTGCCCTTTAGAGAGGCGATCTCATCTCTGTAGGAGCCCAAAAGAAATGTCCCATCCTTGGGTATGACAGTAGTGATGGTGGAATCACATGGCACTGTTTCATAGTTCTTCTTGTAATTTATACCAATGGAGCCCCAAGAATTGTTCCACACAAGGCAGAGCTGCTCAAAGCTTTCTGTGAAGATGTCCTCTTTTTCCTTCACAGGTAATGCATTGTTCAACAAACATCTTGAGCCAGAAATGGACAGAAAGTAGCCATTGTTGACCTTTTCAAGACTGAGCAACTGTGTAAGGGACTCATCTGAGTAGGAGAAAGCTGTCCAATCATCGTCTTCATTGCCAACTTTGGAAGCTTCAAAGCAGAGCGTGAAAGCTTTGAGCTCAGGAATGGAGATGCTTTTTGCAACTGATACCTGATAAGCATCTAATGTCTGGGGCAAAATGACCTTTTGATTCCTCAAGGACACAGCAACTAGGAGAAAGCATAAAGACATAACATAATTCTAGAACATGAGCCAAGATGCAATATGTCAAGTGTCTCTCAGAACTCTAACACTTTCTTCCAATTAACTTTTTATTTAATCTGTGAACCATTGTTTTTCTTTTTTCTACCTAGGCTCGAACACCTATCTTTTAAAAATGGTCTTACACCAAAAATAACAATAGGCAATCCCACCCAGGGACAACCATGTTGGTATTTTTTAAATTTCTCTACACAAATATTAAAAGTTAAGAAACAACATTACCAAATTAGAAAGGGGCTAATTTCAGAGTGATTTTATTTGTATATTATAGATCTTAAAAATATGATATTTCTTAAATACTTTCTGAACACAAACTAGCTTTACTTTTCACTAATATTTACCTTTTACTCTGTCAAATATTTCCAGGCAAATCTCATTCATTCAGAATTTCTGTAGTCCTCCCTTTTCCTTATACACTAAATTTTTGTTTGTCCTCTAGTAAATTTATTTTAAGGGAAGCATCACATATGTACAAAATAAAATAATTTCTAAATAGAGATGTTTACAACTTATCCTGAGGTGATATAGAATTACAGATTTTCATCATTAATTTTTTAAGCAGAGCTGATCATGTGACATACTTGGAAGGCAAAGGCAATCAGATCTCTGTGAGTTCAAGGTTGACCTGATCTACTTAGCAAGTTCTAGACCAGACACAGATAAAAAATAAGACCTCAGCTTAAAAAAAAGAAAAGAAAAAGAAAACAAATATGAAAATAAAATAAATTTTATACAGGCAGACAGTCTAGAATTCAGTTCTGAAGAAACCAGGATTTCCAAATCTAGTAGTTCTAGTTTGGTAATGAGGATTCTCAGAAACTATTAATAGATTCTCACCCTTCAATCCTGATCCTGACCATTCACATAAAAGAGCATAGTTCTGTCCTCCAGCCCTAGTGTTTACTGCAGCACATCTTAAGTGGAAGCAGAAGCCTGGCTCTGCCTGTGGTTTACATACCTCTGATGTAGCTGGCGTTGAAGCCTTTCTTCTGGATACTAAAGTCACTTGAAAAAGACACATGCATCTCATTCACGCTTGAGTTAAATGACAGGCCTTTGGCAGTTGCTCCACAGAATTTTGTCTGGCTCTCTCCATTATCAAGGGATAGTGAGTCATAGATGCAGTTGGGAGCTTCTTCAATGTCGAAGTCATTGAATGTTATCTGAATGATGTAGCCAGTAGGGGCTCGGAGGGTCCATGAGCAAGACTGGGTGTTAGGGTAGTCGTTAGGGTAACACGGAGAAGTAAAGGTACCAGAAGGGTTGGACAGGACAAGTCTGCACTTGCCACATCCCCACACTGTTGGTCATTAAAGAAAGAGAGACAGAAGGGCTGGGATCAGATTATGTATAATAAAGCAAGAATCCTACTTACTAGGGGAAATCAAACAGTAAATGTTTAAAAAAAAATACATGAAAATTAAGTGAAAATGAAAGCACCTTAAGAACATTCCAAGGACATTCCAAAAAGTAATGATAAATACAAAATCTTAGAGAGCAAAACTTGAGGTTCTGAGAACACAGGGAAGGACAGAGGAACTCTCTCATGCAAGACGCGCAAGGGCCCTGCAGGTATCCACACATGACAGAGGATTCCAAAGAATAAACAGGGATTAAGAGCCATCAGGAGATCTCGCAAAGGCTTACTGGGAATGCTAAGGATATCTGCTTCAGAGAGTCCATAAAACCATACAGGGAGAGCTCAATGTTATAAACCATGGATACACACACACACACACACACACACACACACACACACACACACACGTGTACATATACATACATACTCACTCTTGGGAAATGAATGTTGAAATATAAAGCAGGGGAAATAGCAGTAAAGAAAATTAGACAACTTACCTTTTAGCATTCTTTTCAAATTCAAATATCTGTTATCACTGTCTCCTTTGTTTATCATGATTGATGATTATACATTTATATGATCATCTCATTTATTCATACATTCAGCAAATATTTATTATCTATTACATAATAAAATTATTCTATACAGAATATGACAAGAAGCAAGACAATCCTTATATGAAATATTAACACTTTAGGCTTAGTCCTAAAGAAAACAATTAATATATTGAAAAGTGGTGTGATAGTTTTAATTGTCAGCTTGACACAATACAAAATCACCTAGGAACACAATCCTAGGGCAGAATTTTCTAGATGAGGATGATCTGTGGGTTTGTTTGGGACATTATCTTGCTATACTAGTTGAGATGGAAAGACCCATCCATTGTGGGTGGCTCCACTCCCTAAGACAGGAAATCCTGAACTATATGTAAGAGTAAAGAAGGAGAGCTGAGAACAATCATGTGTGCATTAGTCTACACCTCTCTGCTTCTTAACTCTGGACACAGTGGAACCAGTCGTCTAAAGCCCTTGCTACTGTGACTTCCCTGTAGTAATGGACTATAATCCAGAACTGTGAGCTAAAAGAAACCCATTCTCCCACAGGTTGCTTTGGTCAGGGTATTTGATCACAGCAACAGTAAACACACACATCAACAATGTCACTCAAATGGTGACAAAGGTGAAAAAAAAGAATAAAGCAAGGGAAAGATCTAAACTGTGGGAATGAAAGAGTATAGTTCTCCAAAGGTGATATTTAAACCGAAATCTTTCAGAAGTTACGGCACATGCCATAAGCACTCTAGAACATAAACAATTTGGTCAATGGACACAGCAGAAATAAGTCCCACTGTAAATGAATTTTTACTCTCAGTCATTGAACTATCAGTTTCATAAGCCAAAGACTATGTCTTCTTTGCACACCTGAATGCACCAGGAGAGCTCACATTCAATGTTAACTGAAAGAGTGTATTTGTGAGAGTTTTGTTGGATGAACAGGGGCATGTTACTAGCATTTTCATAAGAGAACATTAAGATCTTTTTGGTTATTCAGAACTATGGCCAGGATACCAGATCAGATGAGAAACAAGGTCTCCTGTGTTCCCATTTATCAGTGTCTCTTCAGTTCATATTCATGCTTTAAAAAAGTAGTTGTATAAATAATGATAACAATATTGTGTGTACAATGCTCTAAACAAATTACTAGAAAACCAACACATAAAGCATCAAATAATTATACTTCAATCGTGTTGTAAAACTACTTTAAACCCACTGTTACTGGGTGACATTTACTGGGTGGACTTGAATGACTGACTACGCAATACCTTTTCTTGAGAGTGGCAGCTATTACACACATCATTTAATCTTCTTTGATATAGTGATGCACTTAGCTTTCCCTGTTGTCATTTCCTGGGACCAGCTTGGGCCATGCCATTTGGTCAACTCTGCTCCCCATCTGGTAACCCTTTCTCTGTTCCTTCAAAGTCAATTACAACTTCAACAGAATCAAAGACAGAAAGAAGAATACAAACTATGATTGTCAAATGTCTATCAAATGTCTACCTTTTCTTATCTACCCCTAGAGCATCATGTTCCATGTCTGTCTTCATAGCTCTACCTAGGAAGGTTGTGTTACTTCTACCTGTGAGATTATTTGCAGTCTGTCTTCTCCCACCAGTCTGTAAACTCCACAAACAAAGGCTACTTACTGGCTATGTTAGCCAGAGTGTTGGAAACACTCCAGGGTGTTCCTGACACACAAGACGTCAGTGGTCACATTTGTAAAGACACAAAAGAATAGCTTAAATGAACAGAAGTGTGTCTAAAGAACAACTACACATGGTGTGCAAAACCAAGACAAATGAATCATAAGCCTGAAAAGTGGGTAATGAATACATGGGTTGTGGCACGTCTCTGCATAGAGTTTGGGGTTTTTTCTTGTAACTAATCCATTCATGGCCTGAGACTCTCAGACAAGTAGTTTCCTTTCTTTTCCTTAATCTTGGGGTCCAAAGAAAAAGAAGTCATCCTAGCCAGAGTTAAAACAAGACAAGAAAAAATGGAAGGTTTTAAACAAACAAACAGACAAACAAACAAACACCAACCCACGAATTTCATGCTATATGAGCATACAGATAGAAGTATCATTTATCTAAGGTGAAATACATTTCCCTATATCTAGACCCAGATCATGCACCACACTTCTTGTGTTCATTTACCAAATTATTCCCATTCCACTGTGTGCTGTGAGGCTTGAACTCAGGTCCACAGGCTTGCATAACAAGCACTTTTATGTACTGAACTGTCCTTGACCCAGATTTGTGCCTCAGTTTTCCCTCCTTTGCACCAGGGATGATAAAGAACTTATATCCATCCCTAGACTGTTGGGAAGATGACATGGGTTCATATTGGAGCATCCTGAGACTTGTACAAGACGTGCAGGGCTAATGTTTGAGTGTTGACTATCACTGCTTTTTACTACGACACAAAATCTGTGCATCAATAATTTACACGAGTTAAAATAGACCTTGGTAGACTCTTTATCCCTCAGGCAGGTGTTGGGAAATGAAACAAGTAATAAAGCAATAAAAGGAATTAAAATTATGTTAAAGCATTCTTTCAAATGACCCAACTACAGTGGCCAGACAGAATTTCCAGAGAGTGCTATTGTATAGCTATTGTCTTAATGAAGGGAATGCCACATCAGGAACAGTAGCAAAACATTCATTAAAGTCACAACCAACTTCTTTATAAACGGTTTTTGCTATATATTTTCTCATTCAACATCATAAAAATGGTGAGAGTTACCCCCACCTCCATTTTTAGCTAAAACAAATATCACTAGCACAGATTCTGTAACGTGCTTAAAGTTACAGCTCTAATATGCAGTGCAATTGAAATTCACCAATTATTCTGAATGTGAGCCTAGAGTCTTTCGTGAAAAAAAAAACACAATAGAAAGACACAGGCAATAGAAAGATACAGGGTAAAGTGGAACATGAAGATAGAAGTTATTAATGGGCAAGTTCCAATAAGTAGTGCCATTGCCTAAATTGAGTATGTTTTCAGAAGTTCACTTGAAATGTTAGAAAGTTGAATTTGAGTTTATTGACATGTATTTGACTATGAACTAATCAAATGTTAGTTGGCTTGTATAATATGAGTATTCCATTAAGACGTTAATTTGCCACAAGAAGCTGGCCCTTTTCTGAAGAGAAATGAAGGAGAAATGTATGGAGTGGGGGAAGAAGAGATTGGAAGAGCTGGAAACAGAAGGAAGAAGGAAACTGTAGTTGTAATTTAAAACTAAAATAATAAAGTAAAAGTAAAATAAGTAAAAAGAAAATTTTGGGGGGCTGGAGAAACAGCTTAATGGATAAAATGATTGCTGTGTGAATGTGGAGACCTAAGTTCAGATCCTCAGCATCCATATAAAATCTGGGTACAGTGGCATACATCTGTAACTCAAGTGCTAAGGGCCTAGAGACAGGCAGGTCATGGGGCCACACTGGCCAGTGGGTCTAGCTAAAATGGCAAGATTCAGGTTCCATGAAAGATGTTACAAACTGGAAACCTGATAGAGGAGAACACCCAACATTAGCTTCTGTCCTTAACATATGCACCAATGAGTGTGTACTCCTACATACATATGCATACTCAAGCATATATCACACATGCATAAACATATCACACACACACATGTACACACACGCACATACACATACATACATGCACCATCTACAACACATATATGAGAAATGTATTCTCTTATATAAAAGACTTCTTAAAAAGTTGGCCACCTGAAGTTGGCACTGAGTAAGGCTTCAGTAAAACCACGGTTACCATATCTCCTTAAAATCTACCCAAGTAAAAGTCCCTGACTCACTGCATTCTCAAAGACATATACAGTAAAGTGTTCTCAGACCTAGTTAATACCAGAAAACATTTTCAGGTAATGTAAATAATAACAAACCAAAGCCCAAACTTAGCTCTTGTGTGTTTATCTAAAGAAATGCCTAGCATTAACTTGTCTGTTCCTTATGAAGGCCCATTTTTTTTTTTTTTTAGTTAATCTTAAATAAACTCCAGGAAACTTGTATGTCAAAGCTTTACTCAAATAGCACCTGCATAGCCGTTACCTTTAAATTTTTAATTAAATTTATTCATATTATCTTGTATGTGAATGTTTTCCTACATGTGTTTATGTGAACCATGTATGTGTCTGGTGCTTGTGGAAGACAGATGAACATATTGGATCCCCAGGAACTTCAGTTACAGGTGGCTGTGAACAACTACATGGATGCTGAGAATAAACTACATGGATCCTTGGGTTCTGCAAGAACATCAACTGCTCTTAACCATCTCCCCAGTTCCAGTGAACATTATGCTAATGGTTTAGTTTTCTTTTTAATTTGAGAGATTTTTATTCTCTGAAGTCTAAAA